TCGAATTTTATTATAGTACGTATAATCAAAAACAAAAAAAGGAGATGTAAATTCACAAATTGCTATATTATATAATGAAAAGAAAATAGCTTCAAATTAAACTTACTTTTCTTGAATTTTAATCATTAAAAAACATTATACCCACTTTTGTAACTTGAATCTGACACGTAGTTAACGGCTGCCTTTGGCATGCTTCACTCAAGATTATAATTATAGAAGAGGTTACGTCCGTCTTTTTTTCAGGTGGTTTCAAATAGGTATACACAGCACAGACAGAATAATAGTGTTACACTTGAATAAATCAAATACAGTCAAGCGAAAAGCACAAAAAACGGCGAATCAATCACAGTTCCTAACAATATGGTCGCTAAATAAATAACTATGAAACAAAACAAAGCGCAAAATAAACACAGTCACAGATTGGAAAGAATTTGAATATGTCAGTTACTGACTTTATAACAACGCAATAGGGCATTTGACAGTATTAAAAATAAAGTGCCAAAATAACGAAAAAGATATTAGTTTTCTTATCTATTGTCACGTGACCCAAAACGCTTGGGATTGGCGGAGCCTAAAATGACGTCACACGCAAGTAAACTTCCGGTTAAAGTGACATTACATTGTATCGTTTGACGTTTTAATAACAGTCGTGTGACGTCACACACCAGTAAGACGCCATATTATCCAGAGAAACGTTTTCTCGGCAACTTAAAAATGTAGTTTTTGATTTGGTTATTTTTACTGAAATACACGACAAATTGACTCCATAAACATTAGTCAATAACGTGAGATCGTTGCCTAAAACTTGTCAAATACCCTATGGAACGATTTAGAAGGTTTGCTATGATTTAACAAGATGGCGTTGCCATCAATATGAGGCGTTTATCCAAATTTTTAAAGGTATCGATACTTGCCAAAAAGTACTCATTTAGTAAAAGTATCGAATACAAAGTATCGAGTACAAAAGTATCGGTATCGAAAGGAAAAGTACTCGATACCACAAAGTATCGATACTTTTTTCGTGTCCCTACGCACGCGGTCCCCCTCGCCCGCGTCAGCAGTCTCTCGCCATCTTGGAAGCTGACTGTGCGCGTACCTACTTTCTCGTTTGTGTTTTACAATTTGTAACTTGGCTATTACTTTTCTGGACTCTGAACTAAGCAAGTGTTTATTAATAATGTCGAAAAGAGGACGTACTTTGAACAGCCAGGCTCGTTATTTTGAGCGTGAATGTCAAAATGGTGGAGCTCTACTGCCAGTTACACAAGTTCGGAATCGCGTCGGTGAAGCTCTCGGTATTGGTAGCCGCACCGTCGGCAAAATATTAAGTGAAAAATATGGGCCTTCGGGGAGTGACAGAAAAAAAGGAAAAGAACTAAACCTGTGACAGGTATCGATGACTTCGATAGCCATGCTATTAGAAACCATATCTATGGTTATTTTACAAGAGGCGAATTTCCAACATTGGCAAAGTTATGTGCAACTTTAGAAGATGCCGGGCTGTACAAGGGAAGCATAGAGTCGTTGAGAACGATAATAACAGGAATTGGCTTCAGATACAAAAAAGTTGACAAACGAAAATTTGTTATGGAGCGACATGACATAATTATGCAGCGACTAACATTCCTACGCGAAGTAAAACAAATTATAAACTGGGATAATGTAATATTTTTGGACGAAACATGGCTAAATTCCAACCACTCTGTGCCGAAAACATGGACAGATGATTCTGAAGCTTCGTACTCGGAAGTGCCGATAGGGAAAGGTGGACGCCTCATTATATCGGTCCTTCCAGGATGAAACGTCGTAAAAGCCATTTTACCCAAAATCTATTTTTAACGGTTTCTTTATCGGAATCGCGAGCTCATCGATCTGTATATTTAACATCTTCAAATTCGCGAAAAATATGTCTTTTACAACACGCTCCAATTAATGCCTTAAACCCATTTTTCTTGTAAAATATCATAATGAGCAATTTTGGAAATATGTTTTTCAAATTTATGTAGTAAGAGACATATTTTCTCATTCCACGGTTAATACTACATATATTATTACAGTACTGGAAAATAATACTATTGAAAATTTTGTAGTAAAAGACACGATACTACTAACAATTTTGATGTAGACATAATAGGGACTTCGGAAAAGGACATAGGCTTCGATTAGTCGCAGTTTTTTTTATTACAAGGAGTGAAAAAATAAAGGATGAAAGTTGGTAGAAGAAACCAATATTCTATGTGAACTAAGTTCTGGACGTTACTTAGACGTAAGTACGGCTTGTTGGCTTTAGTTGTGGGCCCCAAAATTCGTGTTTTCAATAGCAGGGTCGTGTTGAATTGTTTACCTAGGACAGTAGGTTCTCCCTCTCGCTGCCGAGCATGGTCGAGGCTATGCACAGTAGCGAGACGGCTTGGAAGGAGTCGCCTCTCTCTGTGACGACGTCATCTCAAAGAAGGAGGAGGCTGAGAGTGAACAGGAGGACAATCCTCTGGCTGTCCCCTGCCACCGTAAAAGAACAGACACGGGGAGGCGAAGGTGCGCGCTGGCTGCGCACGTGCAGTGACCCTATCTAATTGAATCCCTTGCTGCCCGGCATGGCGTTAGCCGTGCCAGCCACCGATGGATTCCGTGGCAGCAGCTATCTTTTGTGCCTAACCTACATGAGAGGGCCGCGGCAGGGCCTGCGAGGGGAACTGCTGCGTCCTTCCGCAGCAGACGGGGAGCGGTGCGGTGGGCAATAGGCCGCGCACTTAGCTCTCAACGCGGGCCTTTCTACGGGAACACCCGCGATACCCCGGGTGATCCCTGCCGAGGAGCCCTAGCACTAGGCTGGGAGGCTGTCATATGCGGGGACATGGTGAATCCCCCAATCGGGAATCCCATGTTCCGCAGATTACAGCTGCAGAGGGTATTCTCAGGGCTTTTAGTATATAGTATGCTGCAGACGCTCGTAAGCCACGCGAACTGTATAACGGCTAGTCCTCGTTTCGCACTCGTGAGACTAGCAAGATGGTAGGTGTGAGGTAAGTTCGCTGGTGTACCCCACGACTGTATAGTGTGTCTTATTAATTACCTATTTTACTTGAATGAACTGCTAGTATCGAATCATTTTGGTCCGACTGTACAGGGCTGCTACATGCATACTAGTGGCGCCATCGTTTAATGTCACGACTTTATAGACAAACTGTAACAGGAACTCGCGAAAGCGCGCGCTATTTGATTTGATTTTAGAACATAATTTTCAAATTGCTTATTCCTTTTGTAGTAGGTTTTATTTCTTTTTGTACTAATATAAGGTGAGATTTAAAATGTTACACATCATACGCGACTACTGTAAGGCTCGGTCGTTTTTTTTTCTATTTTCGCTGTATAAATCAAAGGATGTATTTTTTCAAATGTTTTAATAAATTTGTGGTGGTGTGGTGGTGTTTCCAAAAGTAACAAATGTTTTTTTACACTCTCAGCACTCCACTTTTTTATTTGTTAAAATATAATAAAAATTCCATACTTCGGATTTTCTCTTCGGAGCCATCCTATCACAAAGTCATTAGTTAAAAACATTAAAACTTTACATAAATTCTACAGTTAAACTGGTAACCGAGAGTTCGACTTATTAAAATAGGTAATTAATTATAAGAAACAAATATGTATTTAAACTTTTGTTAACATCTCATTTAAGTGATCGGCCGAGTAGGAAACATAAACACGTTCAAACCTGCACCGACTCATCATCACTTCACGTTACTAACTTCACTATACGAGTACAACGACTGAATATTTGAATACCGTTAGTACTCGAAACCTGTGGATCCGATCCGAATACAATATTTCGAGTACGTGAGTACCTGCTATGTATAGTCGGCCTGACTCGGCACATCTCTACTGGCCACCAGTGTTGCCAACTCTACGTCTTTTTACGTAGATCTACGTATTTTAGGCCTTTTCTGCTAACCTACTAACTTCAGTCCCAAAATCTACGTATTTTCTTTTAATTTGTACAAATTTGCAAAATAACATAACTCAGTAGAATAGGGAAGCATATTTTCCGTTAACTATACAAATGTTTATTTCTTATAGTTTTTGGTATGAGGAACTGAAATACATCGATTTCACTTCATAAATTCAGAATGACGTCACAAAATTTATAAACAACTAAACGTCATTGTTGTGTTACTATGGTTTCTTTCGTCGGACTAAAATATATCTAAAGACTCTTATATCTTGTAGAAGAGTTTCCGTTTATTGGTTTTGTTGTCTAAATTAATGCTGGACGCCGAATTTGTAAAAGCAGAAACGACAAAGCTCTCTTACTTAGTAGGTACATTAATAAACTTAAAAAAAAAATGAATCAGTACTTACACCGAAGTGATCTATGCAAAAAGAAATGACTTTCAGTCGATAAAGTTACAGGATTTAGCAAGTTTTAAACATGTGTTCATGTGTAGATATGTTTATTTCTCTGGGCAATTTAAATTACAACTTTTCTGGAGTCTTTAACGTTGTGTTTCTACATTCTCGCATAATACAATCATGATAATTACTACAATACATTTTTTCGGTCTAATATAACAATTATTAACCATTTTAAAACATATTTTCAAAGGGTCAACTAGCCTATTTGACAACAGTGTATTCTTGTCATTCTTTATACAGAATGAAAAGGAGAGACTGATGTTAAATTTAGTGCTAAGTTTAGAGAATTATGTCAAATTGACACCTAGCAGCGTCTGTGTCTGATGGTAAATGTCTACCACAGCATGGTAAATGCTGCCAATGTAGAGTCTTCTCCAAGAATTCTATGTTCTATCTCCTTTTTTTAAATAAATTGTATAACAAAATACTCGTTTTAACGAACTAGCTTCTCTCAAAAAAAATATACGTAGATCTACGAACTTTTCATATGCAATTTTTACTAATTCTACGTAATTTTGTCATCGGGCCTACGCCTTTTTCAAAATCCGAGTTGGCAACACTGCTGGCCACCCAAATTGACAGTGACGCACGCATGGAAATGCTGTTTGTTTTCGATATGGAATAACTCAAACGCGTTGAAGTTTTGTTGAATCTCTCTAACGTTTGCGTTCTTCTGCTTTGTTGTGTAACGAAATCAAATAGTAGAATTGATGATATGCAAGTGAAACGAAAACTACATAGATTTGTTAAATCGTTACTTCATACATCTTTTCAGGTACCATGGCCACTCGTGAGATACTAACATTACAATTTGGTCATTATTCCAACTATATGGGTACTCATTTTTGGAACATACAAGAACTAAGTTTCGATTACACTGGGACTAAAAAAAGTGAAATAAATCATGATATTTTGTACCGTGAAGGACAATCCAAAAAAGGTGAAGTTACATACACCCCCAGGCTTCTTCTAGCTGATTTGAAAGGATCTTTAAAAACTTTACCCGCGTCTGGTGGCTTACCAATTGAAACAGACAATGACGACTTACAATGGAATACAGTAGAAACAATAGAAGAGCCCGTCCCTGAAAGGAATCAGTTCTTATCAGATTTAGATACAGAAACAGTTGAAACAGAGGACAAGCAATATAACTTAGAAGAAGATATAAATACTTGGACAGATTTCTTGTATCCGCGTTTTCATCCTAGAACTGTAAATATAGTAAAAGAATATTGTCATGGAGATGAAACTGTAAGTCTTAAATTTTAACATATGAGCCGGGTCTCCTGCATCATATTCTAACTGATATATTAAAATTGTTATCTGTATTGTAAGCAGGAAGACATGACTGCTTGACAATTACTTTTTATTCATAGCTGTTTAATCCAATGTTTTACGTTTATTTCAGGAATGTTTTGATATACACAATTCAGGTAAAACACTATGGAAACAAGATTTTGGTGACACATTTTCAGATAACATCAGGAAATATGTTGAGGAATGTGATAGCATTCAAGGTTTTCACATAAACTTTGACTGTACAGATGGTTTTTCAGGGTTAGCAGTAGGTTGTATAGAGCACTTGGCTGATGAATACACAAAGCCAATACTAGCCCATCCAATAATAGCATCTTATTTTTCTGACAATGATCCAAAGACCCAGGAAGACAGAGATAAATCAAATTTAAAAGATTCAATAAGATTAATCAATACATCATTATCTATTCAAGAATTATCTGAACATGCTACTTTGTTTGTTCCACTGTGTACTGGAGAGAAGGGATGGCGAAAACCAGGCAGCCCTAGAAGCTTTGATCATATTGTTTATAACCCGCAACTATACTATCATTCTTCGGCATTGTTAGCTTCAGCTTTGGACACACTTAGCCAGAAATATAGACAAAAAAATAATTTCTATTCATTGTCTGATGTTGCTGCTGACATGACAGGGTATGGTAGGAAAATGGCAGCTGCATCTCTTGGCATTCCTTTTGCATTTAATGAATCACAATATCTCATTGACCATTTAAACAGTGTGACAAAACCTATTTACTCCTCTATTACACCTAGTTGTAAAATAGCAACTGACAAATTGTTCCAATTAATAACAGTGAGAGGCATTCCAGAAAGTTATTTGAAAGCCCCATTAAAGGAAGCTAAAGAGCAAATGAATTTACCAGCATATAGATGTAGTAGTGTTAAAGAAATGTTTGAACTTTATTTCCAAGCTAGCAATTTTCTGTCTGCTACCAATGTCACAATCACTGAAAATCCATTAGAATTGAAAACTCCATTCCCAAGAATATTCTCTGAGAACCTGAATAAATATGGTTTAATAAAAGATAATGATTCACAAGAAAATATTAAAAGTTGTGCAATAATAGCAGGTTTCCACAATGGTAACTTTGTAGCAGATGTCATTGAGAAGCTGCATAGAGAGGTTGGACGCATAAAATTCGCAAAACTCCACAAATTTCAAGAAGAGGGGCTTGAATCAGCAGAGTATCAAGAAAGTTTAGATAAGCTTGCTGAATTTAAGGATAACTATGAGGATGATTTTGAATTGTAATAAATTGTTTTTATATATGTATTTATACATATTTGTAAAAAAATAATATGAACTAATATAAAATTCATATAACTTTATTTTAAGATGATTTAGATAAAATAAATCACAATCCAACCACACTTTCAATTGTACACATTTACACAGAACATAAGTCAACTGCGATCACGATGAACGCTCCAAGGCTCTCTCTTTCATCCTAGTAATAAATGCCGCACCTTTGTTCTTTCTGAAGTTTTCGTAAGGATCATTTAAGTTTACTCCAACACCTGTAAAAAAATTAACCAGATTAAAGTACAAGGTAGAAATAATGACGTCCAAAGATTTCGAGTCTTGGCAAAAGCACTTTTTACAAAAATGGAGAAGGTGCAATAGATACATGCATGTTTGCCCTAGTTTGAATTTAAGAATCTTTATATGTTCCTGGGGGTCAATTGCCTAACGGAATTGCTATGGGTTTCGCTATCGCTTACGATTTCATTTTGGTATTTTCAAATACCTTAAACTCATTGTCTTTTATATTGTTGTTACCAATACAAAATTAAAAAATGAGTGCGGAGCATTTAAAAACTTCGGCGGTCAGAAATAAGAAAATGAAATCTTAAGCGATAGCGAAAGCCATAGCAATGGCGTTAGGCGAATGGAACCTGAAAGTCAAAAGACTTACTTATGAGGACAACGGAAGAAAAATTAAAGTCTCCATAACTAAAAATATACAGGTTTTTCTTATAAGATTAAATGAAGTGGTGGAGAACCAACTATTGAACCCCTGTGTATGTAAAGCAATTTTTCATGGTTTGCAAGTATAAATTCTTTTTTTTAAGCCTATAATTTTTATTAGACAGATTTGAAAATATTTTGTACATCAAGGGTCTTTTTTGTTTTATAGAATTTTCAAATTTTAAAATGAACACAAACATATTTTATAGCACAGTGTGACCTAAACCCGCACTTTACGCACGCTTTTCCGTGACCTAAGTTGCCTATTTCTGCACGGTGTGTAAATGAATTGACCAACTTCCCTCATGTAGAAAAAATAAAAGGAAACACATTTAAATGTCATTTGGAGCTTAAAAAGTCACAGCAAACAAATGACAAATTAGCGATAGGTTAGGGATTTTCAGTGACAGCCAAAACAAGGAGAAACGGTTAGCTATAATTCATTCCGCGAGAATTGTATCTTTGTTTAATATATTGTTATGCCAATCAAGGAATAAACGTTCATGGATACATTGAAATTCTGTTTTGTTGTAATGATATTTGATTTATTCTTTTGAAATATACTTTCAAAATAGTAATCTGAACCAGAATTCTTTCTTTTCAGAGTTTGACTTGCAGTCTGTATTGCAATTCTTTGTGATTGCAATACATGAATTTTACTTTCAAAACACCCTCTTGCCCGCATCCGGGGCGGGTTTATGTCACACTTGCTATAAAATAGTATACGATACTTGTGGCCTAAGTTGTCTATTACTGCACGGCGTTTAGCACCCTCGCTCCGCTCGGGCGCTAACTTCACGCCGTGACCTATTACTGATAGGCAACTTAGGTCACGCGTATCGTAATGTACTATTTTAGAATTATTATAAAATCAACATGAGGTTCATTCTAATAGTACCAGTTTACCTTTATACTGGTCCTGTTTGTCCCTGACTGTGCCACCACTGATGGGCTCCGCTATGCCTTGGCCCGAAGCGCCTAGTCCTCCAGCGCTCCAACCCATCTTCTGTAGCAATTGGTGTCCTTTGTTACTCGCATCCAAACCGCTCGATGTACTAGGGTATGCGCCTCCACTATGCCAAATAAACAGTAATAACACGATTACATTTTTTTTAACAAAGCGTACCAGAGTTCGAATACTATGATACTCTTTTGTATAGTATTCGTATCGCCATGTCAGTTTCTACCCCACGACAATGGCCAACTAGAGCCGAGGTCAGTCTTCTAGTTGAGCCGACCCTCACTCAGCCACAAGACGGAGAAGAGACTCCCCCCATGAGGAGATGCCATCCACCTGGAATACCTCTAGAGGCACTCGCCAATTCTCGGCTTGAGGTCCCCTTAGGATCTCGCCGTCCCCAAACCCGGTTAGGCTGTAAAGGTCACCTGCGACCAACAGCATACACACTAAAAAAAAGAAGTCAGTTTCTATGGAAACTAGCCAGCACCCTTACCGGACGTAAGAACAAACTAGATTTTTTCATAGAAACTGACGATGGCGAAACGAATATTTCCTCACTAGTTGTTCGTGCTTGGAGTACAGAAGGCACATGAACATTTCTACCGAAGAAAATGACATGCAGCTTTCAATCTGAGTCACTGTTTTTAGCAGTTTAAAAATAGAATGAGAAGCATTGAACATGAACAGTAATTGCCAACTAAAGGATCATCTTCTTGCTGCCCTGAAGATTCCTCTAAGGCTACGTTTCCCTGGAAGAAAAATTCTTCAAGAAATGTCCGACAGTTATTTGCAATCTTGCAATACTGTCGCGAGCGTACTTGCTACATAGTTTACAATTGCAAGTTGCTGGCAGACAGACTGTCATTTTCAGGATATTTCTCGCAGAAGTTTTCTTGCAGGTGGAAACGCGGATTAATAGAATTAAATCTGTAAGCATGTTCCTCTTTATACTTAATGATAATAATAAATTCTGGAAAATTCACAATAATTATTTAGTCCCAAACTAAGGCAAACTCTTTAGAGCTACTACAGAAACTAAATAAAGTACCTATATTTCAACAAGTAAAACAAACAACAAATATTTGTACTCGTCACACAAATAAATGCCCTACTAGGCAACTCATCCTTTGTAGCAGAAGCATCACCCTGTCACCAATCACATCATCAGAAGAGAACAGCTTCTGTAAAGCTTTAGTCAGCGAATACTCGCTGAGAAAATGCCTACTCGCTGCAACTTTTTTGTGTGTATGCTGTTGGTCGCAGATGACCTTTACAGCGTCACCGGGTTTGCAGCCGGCGAGATCCTAAGGGGACCTCAAGCCGAGAATTGGCGAGTGCCTTTAGAGGTATTCCAGGCGGATGGCATCTCCTACACCGGGGGAGTCTCCTCTCCGTCTGGAGCCTCTATACCACTCGAACCTAAGGGTCGCCGCGACTATTCGCTGTGTCTGACAGGTACCCCGCAGCGAATAGCCATTCCGCTCAAGCGAGCTTCAGTCAGTCACACACGGCGAGTGCTGCACGCGAATTTCGACTGTCTGCAGGTGTGAAAATTTAATTGTGCTGTAGTATTAACGTGCAGTATAGAGCAGCGCACTGAGCGGAACGGCTATTCAGTGTTGTCATCTGCTAAACCAAAAAATCAGAAGCGCGGAGTGTAAAATCTATCTTCATATGTATGCTTGAATTGAAGACCAATAAACTTGCGGTAGTTGGATTAATGAATAACTAACTTATTAAGATAAAGTACAAAACACATGAAAAACATTTACAAGAAATTAAGAATATTTTTGTTAATTTTGCAAATTACTCTACTAAAAGTAATAACATGTGTTCTACCACTTTATTATAAGTAGTACAACTACATTTTACTCGATAAAAGCGCTAATTCACTGTAGAATTAAACTGAACATTCGAATAATGAACAAACAACCCACATAACGAACAGCCTCAGATTAGAAAACAAAATCTGTAATCTGAGCGTACGGCGTCTGCAGTTCAGCAAAACGTTGTTACCCGACCGAGAAGAAAGAAAAGACAAACTAAATGTATAGATTTCCTTTTGGAAACATTAGCCTCCTTTAGAAGTTCGCGTAGTATTCACTCACTCACAAAAATAGCTTGGGAAATCCTCAACTCCCGTTTCGTTAATGTTGTCATGACATGTCATGATTGAATAAATAAATAAATGACAAGACATCTAAAACCCAAATAAAGCCTCTAAATTTTTATAGAAGAAATTTTCTATAATTTTGTTTAACTGGGCTGATTCACACCGGTATAGCAGCGGTCGGCAGCGACGCGGCGAGCACTTTTGACACTGAAAGCAGTGTGTAATAATTTTAAACTTTATCTACATTCTTAAAAGATTAGTATCGCTTGAAAAGGATCCGCGGTGTCGCAAGCGAGCGGCACCGCGCGCCACCAATTTGAGGGTGTTGATGATACTTTAAGTAAATTAAAAGAGAATTGAACTCTAATACAGAGCATTGAAGTACAAAATTAGTAACATTAAGTTGGACCAGATGTTTACTGTTAGTTTCAAAATTATAGATACAGAATAGAATATATTTTATTAAACCCTTATTTACACATTCACAAATACAAATTCAAAAATCTAAGGACTAACCAGGACCCTGCCTCAGCATGAGCTGATGCGACATTGTGTCGCAGTCACCAAAAAACAAATTTATCATTCCTTTGTAAACATACATTAGTCATAATTATATAGTATTTACATGTAAATTTAAAATTTAAGCAAACAAAATGAAGAAAACAGAAAATAATAATTATAAACAAATTTCTCTAAGTCACTAGATATGTTTGTTGTCCTTTTCGCAATAAGTCTTTATTATTCAGAAAGTGTATGTTTATTTGGAATTGGAACCTTTAAACTTGCATAATAATAAATAAAAAGCCGCGCACGAAACGAAACAAACCGTACCAACGACACGGTAATATTATCTATACACTATTGTGACTCGGCCTTGTCCTTGAAATAACTGCCTACGGCCGAGCGTAGGGCTGCCCGCCTACAGTATTTTAATTTCATCTACGTATCGTAATGGAGTTTCTTTCTAGTTTCGAGATTGTAAATATTTTTTATTTCATATGTAAAAAAGAAGTTGTGAATGAATTAGGAAGTGTTACATAAAATACATGTTATTTTAAGTGTAATATTTAATAAAAATAATATAGATTTGAGACTAGCGGTGGGCGTTTAAACAAAAAGCGCTTAAATAAGCGCGCTTAAAATATTAAGCTTGTAAGCACGCTTTTAAGTATAAGCGTTATAAGCTTTTCACTTAAAAAGTGTGAGTAAGCTTTTCACTTAAAAAAGTGCAAGTATATTTTTTACTTAAAAAGTGCAAATCCCGCCATCTATGTCTTTGCCAGGAAACTACATACTTCGATCCTTCTAGTCCACTACAGTATCGAAAAATGGGTACGCGGAATTCCTTGGAACTAAATATTTCACAATATCACAGACATAGAACGCGCGACTACAGCGCCGCGTCGGCGTGCCATCTTTCGTGAGCCGGTTAATACAGCATGCGAATTATTATAATGCGACGTAAAAAAATGCACTTTTTTTAAAATTTGGTCGGATAACCAACGCTTTTTTCGTTAAAAGCGTTTAATTAAACGAAGTCGAAAAGCAGTACGCTTGTCACTGTGTCGGGTTAAGAGCGCGTGGGTGTTGTACGGTGTGTTTGCATGCTTGCTTGTGTTAATGCGTTTCGTGTATTGGTTTAATGTGCATATAAAATAGTTAAAAGTATGTATATAAAATCAATGAACTTTTAAGTACGCCTGGATCACGAGTATATTAACTCCAGACAGTCCTAAGCATGTAAAGTTCGAAGAAAAGTTCATTGACTATTATAAAAATGTTTATTATAAAATCTAAATTCAATTGAAAATCTTTCGTTTTTAATGCCAATCAATTCATTAGGTTTAAAAAAACTTTTTAATAAAAATTTCATTAATAAGAAGAAAAACGCAATAAACCACTTAAACACATTAAAAACGACAATAAACTTTTCACGCTTTTTTAAACGATATACCTAAACGAAAACACAACACAACGTCGCGCTTTTTACGCATGCTTTTAAACGTTTAAGCCAATAAGCGTTTAAACGAAAAAGCTTTTTTTCAAGCGCGCTTATTTAAAAAAGTACAAAGTTTAAACGCTTTTAAGAAATAAGCCGTTTTTTCCATCTCTATTTGAGACAGAAAAATATTTACGTCTCAACTGGGACATACGATTTTAGTAAAGATTTATTATTAAATTTAATAGTTTAATAAATACGCATTCGTATAAAAAGTTTAATTATTGGAGAGTTCAAGCGACCAAAACCAGCACAATATCGATTATTGCTCTTTGCTATATTAAACTATGTAGGTATCTACTTAATTCAATCAAATATTCACAATACAAACGTTTAAGCACGGCTAACTACTTAAAAAAAATTGACACCGTTCAGTGGTCGCTGCGGCACACTCGCGACTGGATGCCCACCGGGTGCCGCACGAACTCGAGTCAAGGGAGGATTCAAATCCCTGGGCTGGGTCTATCTGTACCCACTGACCTCCCCTGGCGCCAAAGCTGGATCCGCCCTTGACTCGAGTGGCGAGGATATGACACGCTTTCCGACCGTTTGTATGAAGATAAAATACTGTATAGATAATATTACCGTGCCAACGAATAAAAATATTAATTTCAACACATTTGCTCAAAAATTGCATTTATGGAGGTTGTATACATTGTTAAGTTCAAAATTACGGGCCATACAATGGAGCATAAGGTAAAACGTAATATGCTACCATGTTTATAGAAGTGATTTAAGAATAAAAGTTAGTTCTCGGTTTAGCAGACTACTAAACTACTTTTATAAAATATATTATAAATGCCTTGTGTGATTGAAAACGTGAACCCAAGAAGAGACATCGCCATTCCCATCGCACATTCAAAAATTGAACTCGGGAAGAACTAGCATTGCGAATCGGGGATGTCAAACTCAAAGTCCGGATAATGGCACCATTATAATAGCAGTCAACGGAGTGAGGAAAGGTGAGCAATAGCCCATACTACATGGCAGTTAAGATATTTAATAAATTATCACATTCTATAAAAAAATAAAAATCTATTACCACATTTAATACAAAACTTAAAAATTTTCTAATTGATAAATGCTTCTATTCTGTGGATGAATATTTAAATTTCAAGTAGATAATAATTTAATATATGAATGCATAAGGTTAGAAAGAAAATATATTTATTAGATAAATGCTTGTAATATATACCATAAATACTTTACAACGAAATAATATTAATGAGGCGATTTTTAAAATACAAACCTAGTATATAATAATCATGTTAATTGACATATTATTTTTATTGACATATTTATTAATTTTAATTACTGACAAATTTAATTTAATTTTAATTATCTAAATTTTTTTCATTATATAGCTACTGTTAATAAGATCAATTGAGTAAGTAATATTTTTAAACTAATGGAATCAGATGACAATTATGCATGATTTGAGATATAAAGTGGTTTAATACAAATTAGTCTCCTCATATATATAATTGTTTATTAATAAAATTCTTTTCTAATTTTTATCTTTAAGACTGTATATTGCGATACTCTGACAGGGTTCATGTTAGGTACTATAAGCATTTTGTAACCATCTATGTAACCACATGAGCGCAATAAATTGAATTGAATTGATTCGTGTTGACGCCTTGTCGTGGAACTTTAGGAGTGATAACGTTTCCATTCAAATCGCAGGTGCTAGGGTGGCCTTGTTGATTGGCGACGAAAACCCTTCACCTTTAGAAATTTGTTCACATTAAAATATAGTAAACCCCAGTATACTCAAAGGCATAAAATCTTCTTTGTGAATAGAGAAACCAGCAGAACGTAGCCGTATGCTCTTGGAGAAATCTGCAGTGCGTATGCGCCTACAATCTCGTGCGTTAACTGGCGATGAAAGAGCACACCGTAGTGGAGATTTTGAAGCAGGATAATACTCTGTATCTGGTTCACACCTATACATTTAGGCTGAGAATATGCTTACCTGTATCTGTTTGGTAACCATTACATTAGGGTACGATGATAGGATTTTCAAAAACAACTCTATTAAAAGGGTCTTTAAGGCAATAGGTTCCGGTCCCTAGTACGAACAGCGGGTACATACATTAGTATGTGTGTAACGATAGTTAATAGTTGTGATGTGCCGGATATCCGTATCCGTATTCGTATCCGCGGATATCCGAGGCAGAAGAAAGATCCGTATCCGTTACTTTTTGGGGGATTTTTTACGGATCTACTTACCTTATTAATTTTAAATTTATAGATAAAATTCTTTAAGGCGAAGGGTAAGGCGCACTAGCGACGCCAATTGCCGAGATTCTGACGGTCCACAATTATTTGAAATAGATCTGGTTCAGTAGCTAACAATTTAAAGCAATCGGCGTCGCTAGTGCGCCTTACTCTTTGCCTTAAATTATGATTAGGTAGCAATAAACTATTAAATTCAATACAGATATTCTTTTATTTCTTAAAATCATATATTAGGCTTCTTTATGTTGCAAACTTTGCCGTAGTGAGTTATCATTATCATACCAATAGTATATAACTTCAAGGTACTAAATCAACTAGCTTTTTAATGAGGTCAATATTATAAAAAGTTATAAGATCACTTTTTATTAGGAAACAAAACTTAGATCTTCGTAATATTTTAAATTCGAATTAAATTGTTTTTTAATCAAGTAAACTAGTACTGCGTGACACATACAGTGTTAATGTTAGATAAAAATCACAATAACAATTAGAGGAACTTAAAAAAATTATAAGTCATAATTAAAATTTAGTAATGGTAAATTATACTTCAAAAAGACTAACTTAGCAGCTTTGTCCCCCAAAAGTCTGTTACGATGAGGATCATAAACAATTCCTGCTGCACTAAAAAATTGCTCACTTGGAATACTTGTTGGAAGCGTTATCTATGCTGCCCAGTGTCACATTAAACTAAAACAAAACAAAAAAAAAACCTGCCGCGCAATGCAAGTCGAAAAATGTCTCAACTCAAGATCGCGCACCGACACCGAATGTGTAAGAAAGTTAAGATCCGTATCCGTATCTGCGGATCTTGACACCAAATATCTGTATTCAGATCCGTATCCGCGGATCTACATTTTTGACGATCCGGCACATCACTAGTTAATAGTTTAATATCCTAGATACAACACGAACAAAATCGTGGCCGAAATCTGTCCAAAAGGTACATCGGAGGTCCGTAAGATGATTGCGTAGTCAAAATCAATATATGGCAGCTTTTAAACATCCAAAGTAACCATTTATGAATAGTATATAAGGTCTTACTTTAAATGTTCGAAATGCAAACTCGGCGGAATAATATAGACTTTATTTCTATGACTTTAAATCGTAATTCTGAATGCGCTGTTAGCAATACACTTAGCAGGTACGGAGGAGGATTTGGATATCACAAATATTCTGTTATTATATCAGTTTAGTAAGTATTACAACTTTGCTTCAAGTGCGTTACTTTGATTAGAGATACCTGTCGAAAAAACGACACTACCTACTATAACTATTTTTTTCACCAAACTCGATGGTTCAAGCGGTTAGCGCTGATTCCGGCAATAGTGCGACGAGTCGACAAGCGGCCGCCATGGCTCCGCACGATGGTCCACTTAAGGGACTAAGATATATAGACTCTACTACAAGTGGAAGTGTCCCTCTGATAGAGAAAGAAGATGAGAGACCGCTAGCTTTCTCTCTCTAATCGCGCATGCGCATTGGCAACCGTAAGCATCTTACTATTTCGATGTGATGCCATTGGATGTCATGCGTCACAAGAGAAAGAAAGATAGCTAGAGGTCTCTCATATTCTTTCTCTTTCTACTAGACGGACACTTTTAGAGCCGCCTTCCCTAGTCTATTCTTATACCTCTATGCCTAAACCTCTAACATAGAACAAAGTGCTGACACCATTAGTGACCTGTTGCCATGCATCCCGAGTGAAAAAAGAAACATATGGCTCCGGGTATAATCATCATATCTTTTACTTACAGTATGACCTTGTGTTAGCCAATCAAAGCGCAGTCCCTCTGCTTCGTTTTTGCCTCGGGGAAGTTGCCAGAATGTATTTAGTACAAAAAATATAACTAACAGGAAGCTCGGTGGGGTCGGTGACCGGGATCGCTCGACGCGCCTCGTCCGCGGCGACTCCACGTGTCTCTCTCTCTCTCGCTCCCGTTCCCGCTCCCTATCTCTCTCTCGCTCCCGCTCGCGCGACCTGCTGCGTGACCGCGACCGCGACCTAGATCGTGATCGCGACCGTCGTCGACCTGCAACGAACAATTTATGTATATGTGAAAAGACCTTAGACACCACGACCGAAAACCACGTATTCTAACCATCAATAGGACCATGTTTGTCCTCTAGACTATACCTGGGAAATCCATAGTTATGAAGTTATTAAAGGACAAAGTACAAACAACAAGGTTTTTATGGAAACAATATTTTAAACATTATTTCTTGGTTTCTAAGTTTGCTGTCTAAAGAAACATCAAAGTATTTCGTAACAAAAATGGCTTTTAAAAGTCAGCACTCAATGTATATCAACTGTGTTAGCGTGGTTTGTAATTTATTTTTAACACCAATAAATAAAAACCGTTTCCCAGCAAATTTTTTTGGCTAAGTTTTTTATTTTGATGTATAGAATACGTGGGCTTCGGCTTTGTCGATGATCTTTTTACACCTTGTATAAAATCTCTTGAGAATACCACATAAAGCACCCCAATCAAAGACGCCATACAAATCCTTGTACGCCAAGCCGAAATAATCCTGGGATTCCGGGAAATTCCATCTTAAGTGTTTACTCCGTGAGATCTAATAAACTCAGTTTGACACTAATGACAGTTGCCCTGTGTGAATAACATAAAAATATTGTTCAAGATGTCCTTAAGGAATAAATAAATTTATATTCATCTATGTTTTCTTATTAACCACACCACCATTTCTCTTATACCTTACATACACACATACTCTAATGACAAATTAAAATTTAATTTAAAGTAAATATACATGCGATTAGTTATGTGATCCCGGAATACTGGGATTTAATGTTTAATAAAAATATCCTAAGAAGCTGCTTCCATAACTTGGTAGCCAAAAAATAACTAGGTAAATATGCATCCGATTATCCGATCTCTAGTGATAAGTCATAAAGTAAGCCATCATAAAAAGAACAAGAAGAACACTTACTCTCCCTCTCTCGCTCCCTCCGCCAGGATGTTTTCCGCCTGGGTGAAGGTGACCGTGACTTTGATCGCACTGGTGATGATCGTTTTTCTGGAGTAGGACTTTTCGACCTGTTCGATAGGACAATTTAAATAAATATCAAAATTTTCAAACCCCTATTAAAAAAGATGAAGATTGGACTAGTTTCTTAGTGTTTAATCTCTTTCCATCGAGTTACAAATGTCATAAGTGAACAAAATATGGCATACGCTTCCAAACTTTATCATTGTCTAATACCAAAACTATGAAATTTTCAATAATCAAACAAAAATTGTTAAGTAACAGTCCATGAAATGAAATATAGCAGCAAACATAATTTTTTACCTGTATCTTCTTCCTGGAGGGGAAGGTTGTTTCTGTAAGTCTTTAGGGATGGGGCTTGGAGTTCTTGATTTTTCTCTAAGACCCTGTGCTATTGCTTCTTCCTTAGTTTTTCGAGCAGCATTTTTGGCTTTGTAGTATTCATAGAGACCTAGTTTCTCCCAGCCTTCACTATAAATACAAACAAAAAATATTTCAATTCTGTTCCACCTTAAAAAAAACACATGCAGATTACAAACATGCAAATAATATAATTTTGTACCTTTCTGCTATTATAAAAGAATTTTTATAAACCTCTACTTTTAAGATTACTTACTTGTCTCTGGGTCGTTCATGGTTTGGTGATGCATAGAAAGCTTCAACTGCAGCAAGTAATCTTTCATTCGGTGGGGCAGGAGGTGGTAAACGGATTTTGGCGGGGTCCAACGGTTTATATCTGTCATCCTCCAACTAAAACCATTCATAAGAAATAATTATATATTTTGGCAAAGATAACTAAGGTCAATATTTACTGTTGAAAACTTACCATTATCAGTGGTACCATTAAACCAGCGGGCAACTCAAAGTATGGAATGGAAGGCATCAGATCTTCATTATTCACTTCAGGGAATGGAGGGAAGCCTGGTGGGGGTTTCGTAAGATCTGGAAGACCATTCTGGAATGCTAGCAATGCCGAATTATTAGGCTTGAATCCCGGCGGTGGCTGGGAGAAATTGACGTTGGGCAGATTTGACAAATCAGGTTCTTCGACATTGTCATTATTTTTCTGATTTGTGATCTGATCAAATGTTTGACTGTCATAACTATTTTCATTGCCACTTATGCTATTGTTAGATGCGTAATTGTCACCGCTTTCACTCCCATACTGCTGGTTGTTTGAGTTAAAGCCTTGATCAAAACCCATCATTTGTGAGAAGCTTTGGTCATTGAAATTATTGTTATTTTGAAATGAATTTTGCATGTTGTTCTGTTGCTGCTGCATATTTTCATTGTCTTGATTTTGTAGTTCTATAGCTCGTTTCTGCATTTCAAGTTGCTGAATTTGTTGCATGGTATGAGCGACGAATGCTTGATGCTGTGTTTGATAGCTGTAACCAGAGAAATAATATAAGCAAAAGGTAAGCTGTTAGAGGCATTAATATAAATTGTTTGTTACATACTTTTCAAATGTTGATTTAGTCTGCTGTGCTAAATGTGAGATTGCATTTGAGTGTTGAGCGATCAAGTTGTTCTGATATTCTTGATAGGAACTGGTGGGGCTCTTCATTTTTTCTATAACAGATGTCTCGAAATAATTGGACTTGGACTCCCATAGGCGCAGCAGCTTGTTAAGCTTAGCTTCCTGCTCTTCGGTAACAGCTGAAACAGCAGAATAATTAAACTGATGTCATACGAGCCAGAGTGCCTCTAAGCAAGTTACCTGTCTGGCGCATACCACAGGTGATGAATGACTAACACTGCTTTACAAGTAGATGAAAAATGATAATGCACAAACGATAAAGAGTCCTACATCTTGAGGGCATTATTATAAATATTTTACCTATACTGGCATTGCAAAACATTGGGACCACCACATTTTCCAAATTTTTCTTGAGATCTTCTGCGTTTTTGCGTGCACTGTAATTAGGAATAACGATATCAAAGACACCAGTTGAAATTTATAGAAAGGGACACGAGAATACAGTTGATAAAGTGATGCCTCCAATAATATATATCACAACTTAAGAAAACTTTTACTGCATATCATTGGAAGATAATTTATTTTTTTAAATTAATTAGTCTTTTGGATTTTATATAAAAACTTGAACTCAAGTATTCTTATTACAAAACGTTGACTGAAGTTAAACCTGGTTTAAAACTGATGCTGTAACTTTTGCTTGCTAAAAAGAAGTTAGAAACAGCATGAGGTTTAAACAATTACTAACTTAAGTGCACATTTTAGAACAAGGCAGTAGTTGTTTAATAACAAACCATTCAAAATCAGCTTAAATATTTTAAGTTTAGGATTTGTTTAGAATATAAATATATCAACAGTGGCAAGGCAAAATCGCTTAATATAAATCGCGTAAATGAGAAGTAGCACCATGAAAATAAAAATGTATTCATAAAATAATATTTTCTAATTATCCTAATATTAAAAAGTTACATACTGCCTTTACGAATAAGATGTCACTTAAGCAAATATCACTCGGCCCGCCATACATTTCTTGGCAAGCAAACATCAAATCATACACCAAATACTAGGGCGTAAGCAGCATTGGTTCAAAAAACACCAAAATTTATGTCAGCATTGTGAACAATAAAAATCTCAAAAACTTTGTTCAAGCATCAAAAACGTACTCAAATCTTTATAAAACAAACAGATCGCTGCAAAAAAACTGATTAACATTATATATATAACTGATTTTCGATCAAAGTAGCATTTAAGCGATTTTGCCTTTCCACAGTCAATCTATATACAGTAAAAATATAGTAATAATGCAAATTTTATTAGAAATTTAAGGGTGTGCCTGTCTCACAAAATAAATTAAACCAATTATTATGAACATACAATGAACTAAATGATTCTTTTTGTCTTATGATGAATACTGACCAGTGATGTAAGACATCATTAACAAGGTAGATGATGTGTAGCTTTTGCGTGAAAGCTGCCCCAGACTGTGTCACTTTTCTTAGGAGATGCTGCGATATCACTTTCCCAGCATCATGTGATGTAGCATGCTGTAGAATCCACCCCTTCCCTAATATTAAAAGAAAATTTACTAGTTAAGAATAGAAACTAACAAATTTAGTTTATCTCGAATTTGATGTACAGTACCTGTGGAGATACTGTCCTTTGTGCATGTATCAATGATAGGCTGTAGAATACTATCCAGTTCGCTGAGACTGATATTGTTTTCTTCTGCCATCATCTGGATTTTTTCTACTTGAGCTTTGTTTACTAGTTCATTGATCTTAGCTTGTTGTTGCTGGATCAACACCTTAAAAAACATCACATCATAATAAATATGTACTTGCAGGAAATTCATTAATCAAAGTGCAAACAGATCTATGAACAATTCAAAAGGTCCTGTGAAATAGAAACAAAAACAATAATTTTAATATATGACAATTAAAAGATATTGACAGTAATGTTAAAAAGTGTTTCTCTAAATAATACTTATGAATTATTGCAGATAGTAAAAAGTGCTAAAGAGTGAGAAAAATTTTTATGACTACCAATAAAACTCCATCTTTTTGAGCTACACTAACTTTTGCTTCTGTAACTTTGTCACAAAAACAATCAAGTTTTATGTCATTAAGAATGAAAGACAATTAACTATAAATACTACTTTCTAATACTAAAACTCTTAGTATTCTTAGATAAATATAGTAAAAAACTAAAAACAAGATAATTAAGTGAAAAAAATTAAGACATGCATGTCATCAATAAAGTTTTGAAGAAATTCAACAAATTTTTCTTTAAAACATTTTGTTACCTTTTAGGTAACAAACTGTTGAAATTTATAGTTTCTTAAAATATTGTTGTAAACTTATTGGATTATTACTACTTTCATAACTAATGGCAAGATGTAAAAAAATATTATAACTATTAAAAAAACATATGTATGGTACATTACTTATCTTTAGCCAAATATCATGTGTTCAATATAAATTAATGAAGATTATAATTTTTAACACCCTATTTAAACAGCATGAGTTGGTCTAAAGCACACATTCTAAACTGAACAAAATCTTTATCAATATAAGATACCTATCCTAATAAATACAGTCTAGTGTCAACTCAAAGTTATTTACAGCATAAAAGTATAAATAGGAATTAATATTCATGCATACCGTATGCTGGGCATTGAGATTACTCTCAGACTGTGTGATTTGCTCTTTAAGTATGTTGATCTGTGCATTGACGTTGTCGATATCATGTTGGGTGTGCTGCGGCGGTGCAGAGGGAGCAGAGTTGTTGGCGAGCCATTGCTGCAATGCAGGCGCCGCAGCCATCGTAGCCGCGAGGCCCAGCTGAGCGGGCGTCACAGCGGCCTGTTGGGGCATTACATATTGCCTGTTCTGTGCCATATAAGCCCCGGCAGGAGCAGGTGCCGGCTGGCCACCGGACGATTGCTTTAGAACTATAAACAGCGGAGGTTCACTTGAAACGGTTATACATCGGTACGCAATCAGCGATCGGGCTCGACCGCGACACATTCAATTTCATCCAACGACACTTTAGAATGCTTACTTGCTTGCTCTGTCGTCACTTTGTACTGATAGTAGTTGAAGTATTCCCCGCCATATAAAAAGCTAAACTTCGGGTTGTTCTTTTGCTTGTTCTTCGTCATTTTCTCGAACTCGGGGCCATTTCTTGCGACAAACTGTGCTAGTTTATCAATAATATTCCGAAGATCTTGATCTAAAATAAAATGAAACTTCGATTAAATAAGTTTCCTAATACCAGATAATACATGAATTTCTGCATTAGCTAACAAACCTTGTGGCGGCTGCGGAAGCTCCATTTTTATTTAGAATTGAGGTTAGTCTAATAAAACTTTTAACTGTTGCGCCAATTTAAGATTATATCTTTCGGCATTTTATCTCACAAAATATTTATAGAGTCAAAAATAATTGCTATTAAAGTTCGATAAACTGATGAACTTCACGAAACCACCTATCAAATCAAACTGTTCGGCCATTTGCAAAAAAAATATACATATTGACAAGGCTGCCAACATTAAAATTCTGTAAAATGTTAAAGGGCGGCAATAAACATAACGTTTCGACGCAGTCCATGAAAAGAATGAAAACGAGCGCCTACCGACGGTACAGTCTGGTCGCTTTCCAATTACAGAGCATAATGCGACTCGGTGCCGCACAATGCCGAATTATGCTGATGCTTAATTGGAACGTGAATTAGTTCTCAAATGCACCAGCAGAGTGCGCTAAGTTCAGTGTTAAAAAGAAAAGTCAATGTTTGTACCTTCATCCATACTTATATTTATTTTTTTAACACAGTTTGAATTAACTTTGATGATATAGATTTTAAAAAAACTACAATGAAACAAAAGCTTAAAAAAAATCAACAATAAATAATATTACTAACGATAATAAATAAATAAAATATTTCGATCAATGCCAATTAAAGAAAAAACACTTGTTAATTTTCCGTCACTGAGTTGGTACGATTGCTCGTATCACACGAAAACATTACTTCTGAGAGTGCTCGATTATGCGAAGCGTTGCTGTAGTGTAAACATTCAACATTAAGCATTATTCCGCATAATGCGCTCTAGTGCTGTAATTGGAAAACTACCGTTATTTAGAGATTTAAAAATATATGAATAAATTAATTTATAATTGAACAATTCTGTAATACAAAACATTTTTAGATAATATTAAATGTCACCATTTTAGATCCCAAGGTATCAAACCGCAAATATGCGGACGGGGACCGATAGTGAAGTTTTTTGGTTTCCATAAATGCTTATAACTAAAAACACCTCAGAAAATCTTTTTGTTATTTTTAAAAACAGTAGAACACAAAACATCCAAGTTTTTTAACAAAAGATGAAGTATTTTTTGCCTTTTATTTGGTTAAAGATTAGAGTACAGTCTGTCAATAAAGTCTTGAAAAGAATGTTTGAGGAACTAATGGTTTTGCTGGTACTGGCAACACAAAGTTACTGTAAAATAGTGTAGCTCAGTTATCACGTTAAGGCTAAGTTTATTGTGGTTTAGATAATCACACCAGAATTGACACCATTATAACTTTTTAACAAATATCAAAGCGTTTTAGTCAATGTATAGCGGGGATACCATGTAAGCTACTGCATCCTTTTTTTCATGACTTTATTGACAGACTGTACAGGGTCTTTTACTTAGCTCACCCTAATCTGGCAACTTAGGCTGGCAACACCGACTGTTACTGTATTGATCGTTTTAGCCAATAGATTTTCAGTAGATCAGTAGAATGTAAATGCAGCTTTGCAGTATTTCATTGATTCGTTGTTGGTCAATGACGGCTTTTGGACTTCAAGTTGATGACAAATAGACGAACGTGAATCATTTTTGTTACTGAAAGTGTTGGTTAAACAAGTAAATAAATAAAATGTCTTCGATGGTAAGTAAAATTATTGCAGTTTACTTTCGTGCATTTTATTTGATAACTACTAACTGTGTCAATTTCATACAATTGTTCCCAGTGTTGTTCATTGATTATTATTGTTTTCATTTATTTAATATTGTAAAGCATTTTAATAAAATTTCTATCCCCATAGAGGTGACTCTTTGTAAAAAAGTAACTTAAACTCTATTTAATTATACAAATATAGCTTTATTATTTTACATTAAAAGAAATTAACTGATTTACAGAGGATGAAAGCAGCTAAATGTCCTTCGGATGAACTTGCTATCACAAACTGTGCATTGATTAATCCTGATGATTTTCCCAGTGATGTCAAGTAAGTTAATTAATTACCTACATATGAAAATTTATATATTGGTTAAAGGACTTCAAATGTTTATATTTATTCGAAGGATTGAAAAATCTTTTTTTTTTAATTTATACTTTACTGTTATAGTTTTACTTACTATATTTTTTTTATATCCTTTCGTTCATTTTGTAAGTTTACTTAAATAATTTAGTTAAAGATTGTTAATATTAAAAACATTAAATTAAGCTTTCTAGATGTCTTTATCACATAAATATTGAATTGATATCCCAGAGTGTTTACTTACGCAAAATAAGAAATAAATCCCACTATGCTGGGCTTCTACATATTTTTATTAATCTGTTACCATTCATTCTGACATGATTCTCTAAACCTAAACTTAAATTTGACAACAGTGTATGCTTGTCATTCTTTATACAGAATAAAAAGGAGAGTCTGATGTTAAATTTCGAGAATCATGCCGGAATCGACACCATTGTTTCACTATATTTAAGTACTTTTATCACACAAACGTTAGAGAGAATTATCATCCTATAAAGTCTAAAACAACAGAAGCCAAGTAATTTCTTTTTCTGTGCCCATAAATAAAAATTGTGTTATGTAATGTCTACAGCCTCTAGCGTAGTCTATAAGTAAAATATTGTTTATTTAAGTTTATATATCAAACATTTTATATTATACATTTTCACAGGCATATCGAAGTGTCCACTGGCTCCTCCCAGCATTTTGTGTTCAGCATCAAGTTTTACAGTGGTGTTGACCGTGGTACAGTAGGTTTCTCAGCCCCACAGAGAAAATGGGCTACACTTTCAATTGGTCAGGTAAGTATATAATAGTTATATAACGCTAATTTTCAATTCATTCAACATGATGTACAGTTTTGGTCTTGGTCAATTTTGATGTAAATTTTGCAATTCGAGATATTTTTTAAAATGAATAAAATAACAAATTAGTTGCTAGATTATTATATCAAAAAAGTGATGTTATAATTTTATTTACCTATAAAAAATTTATATATTACATTAGAAGAATTGATCAGGTAAATAATTTGTTGGATATTTATAATAATAAAAAATATTTTACATTTCCATCTAGATAATGGTTAAAACACATTCCCTTAAATTATAGTAATTGTGCATCGATTATATTTTCTCAAATTAAGGGAGATTATATTTAACATAATATGTAGTAAAGTTTTTAGATTACAATAATCAAAATGATATAAGTATTTATTTTGAATGATACCCTTAATACCAATACTAATAGTTTATATTATATGAGCTTGTACAATTTCATGAACATTACAGACAATTGATGTGAAGCCCTTTAAGCCACAGAGTGCTGAATGCCTTTGCCATGTGACTATAGAGGCAGATTTCATGCAGAGGAAAGTGTAAGTATGAAACACATATTCCATTTTGCTTAAATGTATTGCTTTATTTATGGAATATAAAACAATTAGCATATAGGTATTATATTGTTCTAATTACATATGCGATTAATTTTCAATCACACTAACATCATTATTAATCTCAAGGTTTTTCAAAAATGTGTTGACTTTGTTATCGCAAATAGTACATTATTATTATCATCTGTCTGTTTTAGTACTTCGTTGGACCCATATGATTCAGAGCAAATGGCACGAGACTTTCTGATTCAGTTTTCTAATCAGATATTCACTGTTGGTCAACAATTAGCATTCTCATTTCAAGACAAAAAGGTTTTGTCTTTAGTCATCAAGAATTTGGAAGGTAAGTTGGTATTTTATTATAAAAAAAAATGTGCGTGTGTTTGTATATTCAATAAATTTTAAACAAATATCGAAGCTTTCTGGATACCTAATTATATCAAGAAGAGAGAAGCTTGATAATAAGAAGTAAGCATAAATAAGAAGTTTAATGGACAGTTGTTAACACAATTGGTGTGCAATAGGATAGGCTATTTGTGAAAGTTTTTATAAACGTGTATACTTTATTTTTAGTGTATAGTGACGCCATAAAGTGGATATTTATATTTTTGTTGCGAAATCTGTAAAAAAAAGTAAAATAAAAATTATGTTTTATTAATTATGCCACGGAAAATTTTCTCTAGCACTTATGGCGCCTTACAGGCAGGTGACGTCACACGGCCCTCATTAAAGAGTCTCACAGACAGGCGGCCTGCTGCGGCCGCAACCAGCCCTTGAAGTTGTATTTGAACACTCGCTTATATTGCAAGTGCTTACCCCCTCTAACAGTACAAAGTAATGTCACTTCAACAGAATGTTTACAAGTAGATGACGTCATTTTAGGCTCCGCTAATTCTAGACGTTTTCGGACTCGTGACAAGAGATCAAAAAAATTTTTCGATTTTATGTTTTGTAGTAATATAATCAAGAACTTTTTTTGTCAGAACAGTAAAATCGCTGAAATGTTAAATACACATGCCAATAATTGGTACTTTATTTTTCGTACTGTCGAATAGTTTATTGTGGTATAGTTAAGCAACTGTCCCCAATACCAGTTATGTCAAGCTGAAATTAATATCAGGCTGCAATTTTTTTGGAGCAAAATAGAACTTCCAACGTAATCAAAAGATAATGATAAAGATAATGTTTATGCTGCATATATATTTGAAGTTCCCAAATAAAACAAAGTCTATAGGATTCCCTTTAACCTAGAATAGGTAATGAAATTTGGCAAGACGCAAAACTACATAGCACAAGTAAGGGAATAAATCTAAAAACTGCAATTTTGTAGTTCCTTAATTTTTTTTGCGATTATAAAAGCTTTTTTTGCTGTTGGTTAACTAGCCGTGACCGCGCCCTTAGTCCTACCTATCCATCTACAAGTTAAGACGGAACCCTTACTGTCAGACGACTTTTTTTCTTTTTGTTTGAACAATTGTATGCTATTTTAGCTGCGGATGTACAAGCATTGGCGGCGGGCAAGAACGCAGTGCCACGGCGCGTCAGAATGGGCCGTTTACTGCCCGACTGCAATGTGCAGTTCGATAAAGCGGAGAATTCGTCGCTCAATCTTGTCGGCAAAGCCAAAGGGTATGTGGACTTATCCTTACCTTAGATTAAATAAAAAAAGGAAGATACGGTACGTTCTTTCTTGCGTAAAATAAAAAATGATTCGACTCAACTACTTAAGTCTATTTATGATTATTGAAAAAAATATTGTTCCGATGCTATTTTTAAAGTTAATGGTATGAATTTCTCAGAAAGCAACCTCGGCAGTCCATTATAAACCCGGATTGGGACTTCGGCAAAATGGGCATCGGCGGTCTGGATAAAGAGTTTAACGCTATATTCAGGAGAGCTTTCGCATCTCGAGTGTTCCCACCAGAAGTAGTTGAACAATTAGGTATTTACATCAAATGTTTTACTATTTTTTTTGTTGGTTAATAGTATTTTAATAAGGTAATCATTTACATGCTCTATTAGTACTACTAAAAGCTCTAAGCTTAGCAAGAACTATATAAATCTATTAGATTATTTAGACTATGATAAATCCATAGCAGTTGCAAGTCGTTTCGTCTCTTTTGCTTCATTCGGAGGAAGCTACATCCTAAAACCTTCAGTTATTTCGAATTCGGTTTGACAACTTATAAAATACCTAGTAAATTCTGAACGAGAAATCTCTTTAAGGTTGCAAGCACGTCAAAGGTATTCTCTTGTACGGCCCACCTGGTACGGGTAAAACTTTGATGGCTCGCCAAATCGGCAAAATGTTGAATGCGCGCGAACCGAAAATTGTGAACGGACCCCAAATATTGGACAAATACGTTGGCGAGAGCGAGGCCAATATTCGGCGTTTGTTCGCCGACGCTGAGGAAGAGGAGAAGAGGGTATGTTGACCAAGTATACGAGTAACTATTTATACTAACAGCACATTATAAATGAAATGCGGGAGTTTAGCATAAGTATGACGAATTAAATGAACGAAAATAAACTTTATTAAAGTTGACTTATTGAAAGTTCATTTGAATCGCCCTTAAACTTTTTGCTACCAAAAATCTCAATAACAGCTACACCACAAAACGCCACTTTTGGTATAATATAGATCTAATATAATAAGCTTTAGGGATCAGATTTTCTTTTTATGTCACAAGATTTATTATATCGATCCTAAGAGTCTGCGCTGCGTTAAACGGGAGCACGAAATGCTTGAACTCGACAAGTTTTTTAGAAATCCCTTGTATTTACATTCTGATGATACATAAAAAGAGGAGCTCGATGGCATAGGTGGTTAGCGCGTCCGGCCTGTGATCGTGGAAGTTAAGATGTTCGTTCATTCGATGGGTGACCAAAAACTTATTCTCAAGCTTCTCCGTGCTTCGAAAGGCAATTTTACTCGTTGGTCCCGGCTGTATCGACTATTATTTTAACCCACCAATCCGCTCTGGGCCGCGTGGTGGCTCATGGCTTAAACTCCCTATTCCATACATATGAGAGGCCTGTGCCTCAGCTGTGAGGACATTAATAGGCTGATGAAGATGAAAAAGAAGGCACAATAAAGCAACTGACAAGTTATTCTTTTAAGCGGGTAGTCTATATTTTTTTATTTCCCAGCCTATAGATTCCGTCTCGTAAAAAGGCCACTGAACAATAGTGGAGGGATGGGTTTGCGCATGGTTACAGTCGCGGCCGAAAGTGCCTTAGTTTTGTTTTAGTATAAGTGTCAGGTGTAATTATTGAAGAGTAACAATAGGTTTTTGTATGTTAAAGGGAAGAATTAATCGTGAATTGATAGTCGATAAATCGCGCAATGTGCAGGTATAAAGCCAGCGGCCATCTTACGTGACGGGACCTATGCTATAGATAGAAGATCTAATTTTAGCCTAACGTTTAGTAAAGTAATCATTATTAATGTAATACATAATATTTTAATTTGCAGTGTGGTCCCAACAGTGGTCTCCATATAATCATATTCGATGAGATCGACGCCATTTGCAAGTCCAGAGGTTCCGTCGGTGGCAACACTGGAGTTCATGACACTGTAGTCAATCAGCTGCTATCCAAGATTGATGGTATAGTATCTTGTCGAAATACTTTTTATATACCAATAGTGACTTGAAATGTCTATTTGTTATCGCAATAAATCTAATATAATCAAATGCGGGTCTCATCAAGGTAATATATATTTTTGGAATTTTAACCGATATTGCAAGAAGATTGAATAATTCGAACATATAAAATGTTTTCTTACACTTAGCCATCCTCTATATCTTATTGTTTTTTTTTTATTTCACATTTTGTAAAATACATATGCCGAGTTATCTGGTAAATAAGTAGACCGTATCTTATCCTCTCCATCCTAAGGTTGTCTGGAAGAAATCACTTTTAGCGATAAGACCGCCCATTATTGCACTGTATCCAGCCTTTATGTACTGAATGTTTTATTTTTTCTGTGGTGTACAATAAATTTTGTATTGTATTCGGTAATTAAAATATTATTCGCATGCTAAAACAGTACTTAACGACAATAATTCAAATAAATGAATTTAATTTTCGCCAATTCATAGTAGGCCGGCGAGGTAACTCACGGGACCCTAATCTATCCTGTACCCCAGCAGTGGGGACATTAATAGTCTGTAAATAATGTGTTTTTAGGTGTCGATCAACTGAACAATATCCTCGTAATCGGTATGACGAATCGACGCGATATGATTGACGAGGCGTTGATGCGACCCGGTCGACTCGAAGTCCAGATGGAAATCGGATTGCCAGACGAGGCTGGCAGAGTTCAGATTTTGAACATTCATACTAAACGTATGCGCGAATACAAGAAGATCGCTGAAGATGTAGACTGCAAGGTAGGTTTTCGTTTCCTTTAGCCCTGCGGGAGATTTATGTTTGCCTCATTCCCTAAATTTTGAATGGATTACCAGAATTTATGCATAAAACAGAGTTTTTTTAGTTAAAGTGTATTGCTGTTGTTTCTTTAAAATAAAATCATTGTGATCTTAATTTTGCTCTTTGCCTACACCGTGAGGCTTTACTTCATACAAAGCCCAAGTTAATTCTAAATCGTTATTTAAATGGCTGACCTATGATTATAATTCTTTATCGTCCAAACTAATATAAACATGTCTAAAAAAGCAAATCAATGAAAATATATATCGTCATCATCATCTCAGCCGTACGATGCCCACTGCTGAGAGTAGGGCTTCCCCAAGGATCTCCACATCGATAGGTCTTGTGCCACGAGCATCTATTGGCTTCTCTGCGATCTTCACTAGACTGTCGGTCCACCTGGGTCCACGTTGTTGCCACTTGAGAACCTTTCCGACCAAACGGTCATCGGTTCTCCTCCCTATGTGTCACACTCAGTGCCACTTCAGCAGAGCAATCCTTCGCGCCATGTCGGTTACTTTAGTTCTGTGGATTTCCTCATTTCTGATTCTATCATGCAGGGAAAAACCAAGCCCGCTGTGCGACCTTGAGCCTTCTTATGAAATCCGCAGTAAGCAACCACGATTCGCTTCCGTAAGTCATCACTGGCAACACACACTGGTCAAAGACTTTTGTCTTGAGACACTGAGATAATTTGGATGCAAAGATTTTACGTGACTTCCCGAACGATACCTATCCGAGCTGAATACGACGAGAAAGCACTTTCTCAAAGTTGGACTTACCTAACTGGACTGTCGACAACCTCGAGTGGAGTATTCCCTAATTTTCACTGGAGTGGTATAACATGGATATTCGACATAATTTTTCATTCGTCTTATTCATATTCATCTTTAGACCCACTCTTTGGGAAACACTTCTGAGATCTTCAAGCATTGTGTTCAGGTCTCCAAGGTCTCAGCCATAAGTACTACATCATCGGCAAAGCAAAGGTGTGCTAGGTACTCGCCATTGATGTTGATGCCACGTCCTTTCCAATCCAGAAACTTGAAAATATCCTCCAACGCAGCAGAAAACAGTTTCGGAGATATTACATCTCCCTGTCTCACGCCTCCTTGCAGTTGGATCGGATTAGAACTCTAATTCTGTAATCGGACTGACATAGTGGCGTTTTCGTAAAGGTACCTTAACAACTCGATATACCTACTTGGCACCTTTGGAGAGACTGCAGCACCGCCCAGGTTTCAATCGTATTAAAAGCTTTCTCGTAGTCCACAAATGCCAAGCAAAGTGGCAGGTTATACCTCGGTATTCTTTATAATCTGTTGCAGCGCATAATTGTACGATACGGTACTGAAGCCTTTTAGGAAAACGGCTTGTTCGAGCGGTTGGAAGTCGTCAAACCTGCAAGCGAAACGATTCGTGATAACTCTCGAAAATAACTTATAGACATGGCTCAGAAGTGAGATTGGTCGAGAGGTTCTTCAAGAGTGTGCTACACCCTTTTTAAAGAATAGAATAACCTCACTTCAGCCCCACGCTTTCGGCGTTTGGCCTTTTACGATGACGCTATTGAAAATATTCTGGAGGACTTGAAGTATCGGCTTACCGCCCACTCTCAGAAGCTCTGTAGTGATTCCATCATCGCCCGCCGCCTTGTTGTTTTTAAGTTGTTTGAGAGCCATACTAATATCATACAGGCTGACTCCCGGGATATCTTCGGTTTAGTGTCGGGTAAGCTTAGTTCTGGGATCTTTAGCCTTGCTTTCAACAGGTGCTTGTGTGGAATGTAGCTGACGATAGAACCTCTCAATCTCGCTCAGGATTTCAGACTTATTCGAAATGATGCTACCGTCGTAAATTTTCAGCTTCGTCAGTTAATTTTACCAAATAAACAGATCTCTTGCTCACACTTTGGAGCCCTTATTCCGCTCTGTAGCTTCTTTAATACGATTAGTATTAAATTGGCGAAGGTCTCTCGTCAAAGACTTTGAAATGTGCCTATTTAATAAACGATACTGACTTGCAGCGGCTGAGTTCTGTAACGTCATTTCATTTCGCTGTTCGATAAGTTGGAATGATTTGTCGGAGAGTTTCTTTATTCTAGTACAGGGGTTTTGCAATATTTGGCAGTATCTACCATACCGTACAGGCAGTATCCACCACCATGTTGTTTACTACGACAGTGCATCGCTCGGGTCAACGGCATGTTCAGCTGATTTATTGAACATTAATTATATTGCGAGTTGTTACAAAAATAATAAATTAATATTATTTTTGATAAAGCTTTCATAGTAAATTAACCTTACAACATTGTGGTATAAATAAAGCGATAAAAATTGTGAAAATAATAATTTAAATTTTTTTTCAGTGTTATCATTTCCAGATTTCGTAACTCTACCCACTGTCTTTTTTCGGGAGCGTTTTCCTTACACCCGGTACATAAAATACTAAGTAAATATAATAAATAAAAAATACTGTATATATAAAATATATCTTTATTATTTGAATAAATACCACAAACAAGTGTGTTTCACTTTTTTTTTTAATTGTAGGGGGCATACGAGCAGACGGCTCACCTAATAATAATAAATACTAAATAATGATACATAATAATACTAATATAATGATACATAATTTGAAACTTATACTTTAAAATGACGTAGTTCTTTACCCATAGTGTGACCATGAAAGTTAAAAACAAACTTATGAATTCATTTACTATAGGAACTCGGAGCTCTTACTAAGAACTTTTCTGGCGCTGAAATAGAAGGTTTGGTTCGTGCGGCGCAATCTACCGCAATGAATCGGTTGATCAAAGCTTCAAGCAAAGTGGAAGTGGACCCTGAAGCCATGGAGAAGCTGATGGTGGAACGAACGGACTTCTTACATGCCTTAGAAAATGATATCAAACCAGTAAGTATACTATATAAAATGGTGATGGATATAAAGAGAAGGAAGCCCTTAGAAAAAATGGATGGACTGTATGAATGACAAAGAATGAATGTTTGGATGTCGGATGATCGAAAAGTTAGGTAAGCAACAATTTCGAAATTGAATGGAATTATTTTATTGGAATCAATTTACTGTATTTAATTTTATCATAAACTATAAATCTTGGTTTTGTTGTTTGAAAATAAATTACAACTAAGGTCGCTAGTTAAAGTTTTTTATATACAATAACATAAACGCTCGAAGGACCATTTTTAGCAAATTCTTTGTACTCACATTCTTATGTTAGAATAGAACGAACAACAACTAGGGCTCAAATTATTTCTAATTTATAGAAAGGACGATGCGGTTGCTATTAAATCCGAAATTTAACCAAATTTAACTGTATTTTATTTAACAGAGAAGTAACAATTTACTTCTCTGTTAATACAGTAAATTTGGTTAGGATGGTTTAGAGTTTATCTGTTCAATTCTCTTTAAATACATTTATCTAAAGGGAATTCAACTAGATAAACTTTGAGTCAACCAAGGTCGGATACGAATTCGCGCCTTTCGAAATACAAAAATTTATAAACCTAGCACAGGTATCCAGCCTAATACTTATAGGCCGAGTGAATTTATTTCTAGTGCAAATTTTCTTTAGACAAAAATCTACCACTTTAGTGCTTATAATAATTGTCTCTTAACACAGTGGTATTTGAGTTGTTAATCCGTTCTCAGGCATTCAGAACAGCGGCGGAAGCGCTCTTCTCCTCTTACTCCTACTAATATTATAAAATTGAAAGTTTGTATGTTTGTTACTCTATCACGCACAAACTATTTAACGGATTTGGAAGAAAATTGGTACGCATAAGCTTTATGACCTGGATTAAGACATACAATATTTTCTATCTCGGAAAATTTTTAGGTTCCTGAGGGATTTTCAAAAAAATAAAGTTAACGCTGATGAAGTCCCGGGCTTAGTAGTTCAATGCTTTAACGTAAAAAACTAAAATATTAGCTAATACAGTGGTATTTGAGTTGTAAATCCTTTGTCAGGCGTTCGGTACAGCGGCGGAAGCGCTGGAACATTTCTTGGCCCGAGGCGTCATCAACTGGGGCACTCCGGTCTCTTCCTTGTTTGAAGACGGACAACTGTACATTCAACAAGCCAGAGCTACCGAAGCCAGTGGTAAGATCCAGATTATTAATTATTTAAGCCAACGAATTAGAATTAAAATGGAAGCACTAAACTTCAATACTAACGTGACACACACTCATTCAAGTAAAATGTTTTGACAAATCAAATAATTCGGCTATTCATTCATTGGATAAGATAAGGTTAAATGTAAATCCCGGGTAATCCCATGATCAGTGTACTTATTGATAGCATTTTTTTGTGCCCCGCCCACTTGATCGCAGTTTGCGTATAACCACTTTTTAGCGCAGTTCATATTCCATATTATTTCTAATTCGTTGTATTAAACATTATATGATCGGTCAAAACGTTGGTAATTTTACTAAACTTAGACCCATTTAATGGACAATTCAAAAGGGTTGTATTACTACTTTTTTTTTTCATGTGTAATGTTAAATATATCTTTTGGTGTGGTTCTCTGTATATTTATAAGGGAACAAATATATTTATATATTGAAGTTAACGTTTAAATTGTGATCATGGTCAGTTTTGATTCTCCAATTGGATACAGATCCAAAACCGCCGCTATGTATTTATGCTTTTAGTCGATGTGGCAGTTAGGTACCATTGATGCGCTTAAGTTGTGACACTATTGTGTCCACATGTTTGATGAATTTGCAAGTGGCTGTTTCGCTCTTTATTGTTTCCAGTAAGTTGTATGGTTCAATTTTGTATAATCCGCAGTAATTTTCATATTCAGCTCTGGTGCAGTGGAATATAGGGCAATCTTTTAAGATATGTGTGATGTCCTGTTTAGTGTGGTTATCACATGGGCAACAATCATCGGGTGTTATTTTATATTTGTGCAGATAGGCCTTGTGGTAACCGTGGCCCGAGAGAATTTGTGTGACAGAAAAAGAAGGTTAGACAACTGTTCGAAATTCCGTTATTTCGGCGATGGTTTGGAAGAACGACTTTGTGACTGCTCCTTGCGGAGCCGTTTCATAGTCTTCCTGCCACGCGCTCAGGGTCCTTTCCTTCAGATAGCGCTTAGTGTGGGATTGCGGGAATACGTTCATAAGTGCCGCTGTTTTCTTGGCAGCCGCCTCTTTGGCTGCAGCGTCTGCTAATTCATTTCCCACTATCCCCACATGGGCTTTGGTCTTTGTATTACTACTTACTAATGTCACAGCGGTGACACTCTGTGTACGTGAGAGTTCCAGCGTCAGTGACCTTGAGCAGGAGCGTGTATGCGCTAGGGTTGAACCGAATTGGAATTTAGACTTGTGGCAATGAATATTTATGCCTAGTAAGTTATTAAATGTAAACTGATTCAAGGATACTGGGGTAAGTAATGAAAGATAGGTTTGATTTATAATCAATTTTTAATCTTTTAATGTAGGTACTTTTACAAATTGCTAACTCTTATATATTTTCTGCTTTTTCGATTCGTTTTATAATTCTTATTATTATCTAAATAATAATAAGATTGCGTAGCGTAGTCAGTACATGCGTGCAATGCAGTGCAACGCTATTATTTTACTATTTCGCTACTGTCATGCTTTCGGTCGAGGCAGTCGGCGACTGCCCTCTCCACGCCCCGCGCGCCGCGCAACGCCCCCGCATACCTCCAGAAACCCACACATAGCCGCGGGCTATTTTACGAGCACACATGCTTTAATGGCGTTTCTTTTCCCGTAGTGTATATATTTTGTGCTAATGTGGAGAGCCACCGCGAGAAAAAGATTCCCGAGTTAAAATCAAGTTACAAAGTAGCATTTTCCATGATCTCAACAAATTTTATTAGTGAAACTTACAATAATGCGATTTTGAATTCAAAATAAATGTTTTATTATTATTCGCACGACTGCTTCGTTAACCTAACATTCATATAACACTTTATAGGTCTAGTGTCCATGCATTTGAAAGGCCCGCTCAACAGCGGGAAGAGATTTTATGATCATAAGGATAGCCTACTTGGGAAATGCTTCAATATGTTTAAAATGAAAACGTGTTTAACAAACAATAGGGATACGAAGAACTTCAATAGAATCCTTTACAAAAGACTTCAAAAAAAAAAGGATGTTCTTAATTTGACCTGTATGTATGTTTGTCCGCGATTACCTCATATAATACAGATTCGATTTAGATGGGGTTTTCGGTATATAAATGCGTATTTTTATAGGTCTAGTGTCAGTTCTACTGGAAGGGCCGCCCAACAGTGGGAAGACGGCCCTGGCGGCCCAGCTGGCCAAGCTCTCAGACTTCCCGTTCGTGAAGGTCTGCTCGCCCGAGGATATGGTCGGCTTCACCGAAACCGCGAAGTGTTTGCAGATCAGGAAAGTAAGTTGTCACACATAAGTTGGATACTTGAATATTTTTTTGGAAAGTGGATAGAGTTATGCAAATGTTCATTTTATTTGTTCTACGCTAATACTTTTCCGAAAAAGTGATAATAGATAAAAGGATACTTAAGTTTTTTGGTTTGATATTTTTCCCGAAAATAGAATGACGTCAAGTTTTTTCTAAAATAAAATACGACTTAGTTAACTTTTTCATTGAAATGCGACTCGTAAATACCTATTCAGATAAGTTCTTTAAATGTCTTAAGTGTTCAATAATCGAAAAGAATATTATAATTTTGAACTTGCCATCACAGGATGATCAATCATGCCCCCCCCCCACCCCCCCCCCCCCCCACTCCCGCAAACACGAGCCCTAGCTCGTTTTTATCACACTCAATTGTCAAATTACTATGCAGGTCAAACTCTAAGTTAGACGCAATAAAAAACGTGATATACGTATAATGTAAAATGTGGTGCTCGTGCTCCCTGTAGCACTGCAGCATTGGGTCAACATTATTATTATTATTCTTCACAGTACTTCGACGACGCGTATCGCTCGAGTTTGTCGTGCATTCTAGTGGACAATATCGAAAGACTACTGGACTACGGCCCCATTGGCCCGCGGTACTCCAATCTGACACTGCAAGCGTTACTGGTGCTTTTGAAGAAACAACCACCCAAAGGCAGAAAACTACTCATCCTATGCACTAGCAGTCGTCGGTGAGTAGAAATCATATCATAAGCGGAACAAAATTAAACCACGAAGCAAATTATCATAATGTTATGATCAGCCTATTTTGTCACTACCCATCATATCATAAGCGGAACAAATCATCATACTATCATAACCAGCCTATTTTTGACGACCCATCACATCATAAGCAGAATAAACCATCATAATATCATAACCAGGCTATTTTTGACGACCCATCACATCATAAGCAGAACAAATCATCATAATGTCATAATCTGCCTATTTTTGAACACCCATCATATCATAGGCAGAATAAGTCATCATAACATTATAATCAGCTTATTTTTGACGACCCATCACGTCATAAGCAGAATAAATCATCATAATGTTACAATCAGCCTATTTTTGTCGACCCATCATATCATAAGTACACCAATTAAATCAGCCAGACCCCTAAGATCAAATATAAAGTCCCTAGATCCTGTCAAATTACAAAACGATAACCAATAATTATTGCCAAAAAACTTACATAACTCGATGAAATCGTACCTATATTACTGACTACAATATCAACTTACTAGCTTTTACATAAGCGAAGCTATTCTACTCTCGCCCAAAAATTAGGCTTTCCGACTTCAGCATGCTTAGATAATTTTAAATATACATAATATAATGGTATGCTAATAGTCCAGGAGCCACCGCCTGTTTTTTTCATTGATTAATAACAGGCTGAATCTTGGTGAGTAGTTTCCGTTCGACGAGACGCCCAAGTTTTTCCTCTGTGAAAATTCTCGATAGAGGTAGCTAATAAAGTGCGCAGCTATAAAGCATGTCGATTTGGTGGAGTGTTGAAATTGTCTGACTAACAGTTTATTTTTTATTACAATGTTTAAATAATTGTATTATAAACTGGGAGGAATAATTGTCCTACAAAATGGATGGTTTGTTTGAGAGCGTCCTCCACTCCGAATATGTCGAAACGACGCGGCCATAAAAATAATTAATAACAAGCTGATTTTTTGTATGCAGCTTTGTAAATATTGTTAGAATGGAATGACCGTTTAGTCCTACAAATTTAGTGGTAGGATTTCTCAGTCCGACACTTCGAAGTTGGCAATTCTATGGTAATAATTTTTTCATTAATAACCGTAGGACAAAAAAAACACATCATGAGTTAATGCATCCTTTGCCTAAATCAAACAGTGTCCTACAAAAAAATGGGTATGTATCGCTAGTCCTACAATAAAATAAAAAAATATATCTCATTATTTCGTTGCTGTTGTTTTGGTGCTTGGAGACGTATATTCGAAAGCTTGATCAATACATTTTGAAACAATAAGACAACTGCCGTTGCATGAACTGCAAAAATGAAAAAAATTAAAATAAAAAAATACAATTATTGAAATAAATAAAAAATTATTGAAATAGTAAAATAAAAAAATTAATCGTCGTCGTAGAACCTCAGATTCTTTGTTTACATTTTGTCTCAAGCCAAAGTGAATAGACCAATTTTACTGTAAATAAGAGTGCGGCAGCTCGCGCGCTACGCTTTTTTTTTAAACTTGGCCTCGAGCCGCTGTCGCGTCTCTTGATAAATATTCTCCGAAAAATAATTAGAAAAATAATTAATAATTAATGCGTCTTAATTTATTCAATACGCGACGGAAATTCATTCTTCCAATATTGTTGACAATTTGTGTTCCCCGATTTAAAAAAAAAAAAAAGTTTCTCCAAGGGATCGAACACGGTACCTCCGCGACGAGAGTCCAGTTCTGTTCCATGCTGCTAATCGTGCTTATTCCAAGAATAGTGGAAAATGGTACATGCTTATCAGGACCGCTTGATATATATTTAATTATATATATACATACTACTTTTTTTGTAGGCCAGTGATAAAATAGTGTTCTACACTTTATCCCCGATAGGAAAAAATTTAAACTAGGCTGTTATTAATGAAAAAATTATTACCATAGAATTGCCAACTTCGAAGTGTCAGACTGAGAAATCCTACCACTAAATTTGTAGGACTAAACGGTCATTCCATTCTAACAATATTTACAAAGCTGCATACAAAAAATCAGCTTGTTATTAATTATTTTTATGGCCGCGTCGTTTCGACATATTCGGAGTGGAGGACGCTCTCAAACAAACCATCCATTTTGTAGGACAATTATTCCTCCCAGTTTATAATACAATTATTTAAACATTGTAATAAAAAATAAACTAAAGAAAATATAACTAGAAAAAATTCCACGCGGACCAGGCAGCAGACGGGACTCGAACCCGCACCCTTCGCAATCCGGGCGAATGCACTGACCAATTATGCTACCGCGGCCCTCACGGACCGCGTCGAAATTCTTTCTAGCTATTCTTAAGCTGCAAGGCAGCGCCATCTCTTCGCATTATAAGTAAACCCACAATGTCAAATGAATACTTTTACAAGTATTAAACATTTGAAAGAAGAAATAGCAATTATAGTTATAATTTTTATTATTTTTAAAGCATGTAACTGCTTGATGTTTAAATCTAAAGAAAATATAACTAGAAAAAAATCCACGCGGACCAGGCAGCAGACGGGACTCGAACCCGCACCCTTCGCAATCCGGGCGAATGCACTGACCAATTATGCTACCGCGGCCCTCACGGACCGCGTCGAAATTCTTTCTAGCTATTCTTAAGCTGCAAGGCAGCGCCATCTCTTCGCATTATAAGTAAACCCACAATGTCAAATGAATACTTTTACAAGTATTAAACATTTGAAAGAAGAAATAGCAATTATAGTTATAATTTTTATTATTTTTAAAGCATGTAACTGCTTGATGTTTAAATCTAAAGAAAATATAACTAGAAAAAATTCCACGCGGACCAGGCAGCAGACGGGACTCGAACCCGCACCCTTCGCAATCCGGGCGAATGCACTGACCAATTATGCTACCGCGGCCCTCACGGACCGCGTCGAAATTCTTTCTAGCTATTCTTAAGCTGCAAGGCAGCGCCATCTCTTCGCATTATAAGTAAACCCACAATGTCAAATGAATACTTTTACAAGTATTAAACATTTGAAAGAAGAAATAGCAATTATAGTTATAATTTTTATTATTTTTAAAGCATGTAACTGCTTGATGTTTAAATCTAAAGAAAATATAACTAGAAAAAATTCCACGCGGACCAGGCAGCAGACGGGACTCGAACCCGCACCCTTCGCAATCCGGGCGAATGCACTGACCAATTAGATATGTTATATTTTCTTTAGATTTAAACATCAAGCAGTTACATGCTTTAAAAATAATAAAAATTATAAAAAATAAACTGTTAGTCAGACAATTTCAACACTCCACCAAATCGACATGCTTTATAGCTGCGCACTTTATTAGCTACCTCTATCGAGAATTTTCACAGAGGAAAAACTTGGGCGTCTCGTCGAACGGAAACTACTCACCAAGATTCAGCCTGTTATTAATCAATGAAAAAAACAGGCGGTGGCTCCTGGACAAGCACATACATAGTTTTAAAGAATCATCAGTAGTACACTTATCAGTATGACTCGCTCTTAATTAATAATTCACATCAAACTCATAGGGGCCCCATTATCCTTATATGCCCAGAGCCTCCAATAGGCCCTGAAACTACCATAATATCATAACCAGCCTATATTTATGATTTTATTTATTTTTTAAGCATTTAACTGCTGGATGTTTAAATCTAATGAAAAGTTTACTAGAAAAAAATCCACGCGGACCAGGCAGCGGACGGGACGGGACAGCCTATATTTGACAACTTCCGTGGTAGGATGGTATGTTTACCAATTTTCTAACTGTCGTCGACAACATGCAAACACTAACAAACAATCCATATGATTTCAATCAAATATTATGTAAAGGAACCATAATAGAAACCTATAAAAAATAAATCCAACAAATGATCAACAATCTTATAAAAATTAATAAAGACTTAAAATAAATAAAACGAAATATCATAAATTAAAGCATTTACAAAAATCTAAAGACAAAACTTCTCGTAGTCCGAAGCGAGAGTTTGTTTTTCTAAAACTAGGAACAAAAAATAAACTATAAAAATAAAGAGGTCTTGTGTTGGAACTCTGGTGAGGCAAATTTGTCTATTAATGTTCCACTGCTGGAATACAGACCATCCCTATTGATGTAATAAGAAGAACTAACTGGTCATGACCACCGATAAGCCCATTGCGTATTGATGGATACTGGAGACTGGATGCAACCTGGACCTCATAGTAAATTATCGGTTACTCCTACGATTGGTTAATGGGAAAGTTGTCTGGCTTCCACGATATTACACCTCCAAAAAGCCGCCTTTTCTCAATCCCTATGAACGGCTCTAATTTACACTTTATGTCTAAATTAACTTAACTAAACTAAAGGCTTAACATATATTTACGGTAACATGCTTAACTTCGAAAACACTGACTATACCTACTCATTTGCGTAAAGTTTGTCAGCTAAAGGGGTAATATAGCCACAAGTTATCTTCGCGTCATTTGCCGAACCTTTATATAAAAAAATATAGAAATAATGAGGAACTCAGTGGTTAGCGTGTTCAGTCTGTGATTGTGGAACTAAGCAACTTTAACAATGGCCTGTCATTGGATGGGTGGCCAAAACTTATTATCTTGAGCTCTTTCGTGCTGCGGAAGGCACGTTAGCCAATGGTCGCGGCTGCATCTGCAGTCGTTAGCACCCACCAATCCGCACTGGGCCGAGTGGTGGGTCATGGCCCATTCTCCCTATGCCATCTATAGGGAAGGCGTGTGCAGCAGTGGGGATATTAAAAGGCTAATGATGATGTTGAAAACAAAAAAAAAGCGAGTGAGCTTATGACCACACGACTGAAGTGAAACTTCTTTAGCTCCAGTGATCTGAAAATCATAAACTTAACCTGGAGATTTGTTGATAGAAAAAAACCACCATTCCGCGCTGGGTCCGTTATCACCCTCAAATCCGCACTGGGACCATTGTCACCCACCAATCCGAATGGGTCCGTTATCACCCACCAATCCGCGCTTGGTTCGTTATCACCCACCAATCCGCACTGGGTCCATTGTCACCCACCAATCCGCGCTGGGTTCGTTATCACTCTCAAATCCGCACTGGGACCATTGCCACCCAATCCGAATGGGTCCGTTATCACCCACCAATCCGCGCTTGGTCCTTTATCACCCACCAATCCGAACTGGGTCCATTGTCACCTACCAATTCGCGCTGGGTCCGTTATCACCCACCAATCCGCACTGTGTCCATTATCACTCCAATCCGCACTGGGTCCATTATCACCCACCGATCCGCGCTGGGTCCGTTATCACCCACCAATCCGCGCTGGGTCCGTTATCACCCACCAAGCACTAGATTCATGTATTTTGTGACGGGTATTGTGCATTGTTTACCGATGAGTCACCGGTGCGCGCGTAACGCTAAATTCGTTACACATTCGCTAGTTTACCCCCCAAGTCAAGCGGGCCTAAAGAATTTTCACTTCAAAAAAATATATAATTACTGAAAGACATGGAGATGTTGTATGCGTTCATGGTAATCCTTCCACCATGGCGAACCTTCTCCGTGCTCCTCTATTTCTCATTCGCACGTCTATTTACTAATTCATGGTACGTAAGATTTGTCTTAATTTACTATTTGCTAAAGGGGTAACGAATATTTTCCAACAGTCAAGTTCTCGAAGACATGGAGATGTTGTCAGCGTTCACGGGAGTATTGCACGTGCCGAATCTGTCGCAGCCGGAGCATGTAATGGCCGTATTGGAGGAGAGCGATGCATTCTCCAAGCGGGATCTGGCCAAGATACAGCACGATATAAGGGGCGCCAAGTGAGTGATCCTATCTATACATATAATAAAATGGTAGGAAAGTCTTAACTGTACATTGAATATTTTTTCTAAAAGAATACTCTACGATCGATATCGCAGCCAAAAATATAGTTTTTAGAATTTTTGTCTGTTTGTTTGTATGTATGTCCGGGATAAAATCAAAAAGTTCTGTATGGATTTACTTCAAATTTGGCATGAATATTATTAGGAAGTCAGGTCAACATAAAGGCTACATATTATCACGCTATCGCCTAATACATTGCACCACGCGTATACTGAATTCGAACCATGAAATGTGAATCTTTTGGCGTGGTAAATAAAGTAATGTTTTGAGTCGCTCTGTGCAGCGTCGCGTCGCGTTTCGGTGTGAGCTGACGCTAAGTGACGGGAAACGACTTAGACCCCACCAGGTGGGAGATATTTTTTCAACGCATCTGCGCTGCCACGCTCTATCTAGAGAGTAAATAATCAAAGGTTCTTGTCATGCATTTTGTCATGTTACGGTTGTTGTTTTGAGTAATAAGTAAGATTGATTTATTGATGAAAACATACCCATAGACGCCGCATGTACTGCAAATTGTATGGCAACCGAACGTGTTTGATTTAAAAAAGGTGACGCGAAGAAATAAATTAGCCTAAAAGGAAGACCATTGGTCTCCCTTTTGGCACGCGAACTACATACACTTGCGTTATCTATGCTTATATATATATATATATATATATATATATATATATATATATATATTGATGTCGATTCTGGCATGATTCTCTAAACCTAAACTTAAATTTGACAACAGTGCATCCTTGTCCTTCTCTATACAGAATGAAAAGGTGAGACTGACCTTTAATTTAGTTTTAAGTTTAGAGATGCACGCCAGAATTGACACCATCATACATCTATCGGTCTAGCTAGCATTTTAAGTTTTGGCAGTCCTTAGCTAAAAATAAAGTAACATTGAGCAAAAAGTTTTACGCAGTTTTGAAGCGGACTCCTAAAATATATTTTTCTTATTTTTAAAAATATATTTTTATTGCGCAACCTAGCATATATTTTTGCTAAAGACCGTTGAATCTATAACACTAAGTGGTCCGATAGATGTGGCCGGCATTGTGTTTCGATCTAATAGGTGAGGAGCCACCAATCCTGAAAGCTCCGTGATCACGGATTTAATATTTTTAATAAAAAATAAAAGTTAACGTTTAGACGAACAAGATTTGCTTGGTCGGCGTGGATTTGATTGGCCGGAAATATTTTAATTAAATTATTTATTAAATTTCCATATTTTTTTCCGTCATCACGGATTTTGATAGACCAGAGGTAGAAGAGAGACTCTAAAAGAAATTTCATCAAGTAAGTGAAATCTATAACAGTATAATCCTCACTCACACAATAAAATTTGGTATGCGCGATACTTTCGGCAGTTTGTAAGCACGCATACCAAGATAATTATAAATGTGACATTACAACGCGTGAATAAAAAAAAGGGTTTCCGTGATAATGGATAAATTTTACCCCTTATCACACCATTCAAATGAGCGTGACCTTTCCGGCTAAAAAACATTGGTCTGCCGGATTTTTTTCTTGTTGAACATAATATTTCACACAAAATTCTATATAAGATTGATCAAAATCCGCGACGACGGAAAAAATTTGGAAATTTAATAATAAATAATTTAATGAAAATATTTCCGGCCAATCAAATCCACGCCGACCAAGCAAATCTTCTTCGTGTAAACGTTAACTTTTATTTTTTATTAAAAATATTAGAATCCGTGATCACGGAGCTTTCAGGATTGGTGGCTCCCGGACTATAAGGCTGAGTAACAAACACATTTTTAAGTTATAAAAATCTAGCAGGTGAACGCTTAAAATGACAATAAAATCAAATTTTCGTCATCGACAGGATATTCATCGGAATCAAAAAGCTTTTGGCTCTAGTCGACATGGTGAAACAGACGGAGGAAGAATACCGGGTGTCCAAGTTCCTCACCAAGATGCAGGAAGAGGGTTGCCTAGACCTCGGCACTACCATACAATAAGAATCGTTGCAACCTTAGGGATTACATGCCACTATCACGCCCTCACCAGATCACTCCACTACTCACTTGCCAAAGAACCACATCGCCAAAGCTACGGAATGCTCGCCGTGCGCTTCCGACCTCAGAAGCTACGAGATCGATTACGATGAACTCAGCGAATGCACAGAATCATCGCTCGATATCAGCCATCACAAGAAAGGCATGACCGCCAAAAGGAACGAAATATCACCAGCCAAAATGCCTCTAATGAGAATACGGAGCGTCGAAATAGTGTTCGAAGACGAAATGTCCGCTTGCACCGACACCGCTTATTTGGACAGGAACATCGAACTCGTCACATCCGACAGCGACGATTCTACGAAATGCGTCGATGATATTGAAAATATGCAAGGGGAGGATGGCGGAGACGAAGATTCCGTTACCCTCAACCCTGAAGGTGACTTGTCTGAAGATAATTCGGATTCGCTAACCAACATACCTATCATAGAAGAAGCGCCGACTACGGATAACTCGCAGCAAGGCCGTCCGGATACGGACGACACCAATGTGCCGAGTGATTGCGCGACTTTAGCCTTGGACGACGCGACGTTTTCCTCTGTCAACATATCAGATTCGGGTCGTTTTACTGACGATCCGTGCTCATCTCATATGGAAACTGTCCCCGTATTGTCGTGCGAAGACGCTTTTCTGTCGAGCTCTTTCGATGCCATCGCCGTTGATGACGCCACTACGTTGAAATCCAACGAATTCAGCAGGTTCAAGGAAACTGAAGGTAAGCTGTTTGAATACATTGATAGCAACAGTGACAGTTCAGATAATACTGCTGTGTGCGATGTGGATTTATCACCAATGAAAATCTTAACACCTGTCCGCGATCTCGTCGCCGAAGACGATAACACACTTTGCGAAAGTTCCGACTTACAATACGACTCTTTTATCGATATGGGAAAATTTTGATCAGTATCTCTTGTTAGTTTTTAATCTTGTATGCAATAATGTACTACGCTTCTATGTTTAAAGTGCAAATGTAATAATGCATGTGTGATAATTTATTGGTTAATTATGATTGTAAAATAAAACAATGTATGATATATTTTCTCAATCCAACGAATTCCGTAAGTTTTGGGTTATTTTTATCGAACATTTGTATTAACTGACTACTTTGTTATCTGCGATCTGAGCTATTTGGACCTCTTATACGTTGTTTACACTGCTTTTGCACAGGGGGCGCGGTAGTGTATGGCTCTCGTAACCATGTCATATTACCAGATATTTTGTAGAGAAAATTGAAATTGTGTATATTCACTTCTGTATATAATGTTTCTCCTATGGTCTAGAGATACGGCGTATGAACTATGACATGGTTACAGAAATCCCGGGGTTGTATGACTAGGCAATAGCTCAATTTCTCTACGATATTTCTATATTTTTATAGAGTTATTTTTATTTATTTACAATTTGTTATAATTAAAGTGAGTGAATCACGGCTCGATGCTGTTGATTAGGTCGAATACTTAATAGGAAATATTTTGATCATTATGTAATTATATGACTAGAGAATGTAAGCAAATGTTGTCTTTATTATTAACGTAATAGTATTAAACTATTTAACTATTGTTGTTATAGACGTAGAATGTTTGTAAAGCTTTTATTGTGACTTAAACCATTATGTCTAGCCTGGAGTACAATTTAAAAAGAAAATTTTAAGTATTACATATTTATGCACATATTCCAAGTCACAGTCAATTAACTAGCTCTGCACCCAAGCATTGGGAATAGTGGATAAATCCATTAAAATTTAACAATTCTCTAGTGTAGTATGGAATGGAATTGCTAACATAGGCATATTGTAAAGAATTGTTATTTAGACTAATTTCTAATTATTTCAAAATATGAAAAAGTATAAAATTGTTATAAACACAGATATTATTATTTATGCAGTATAATTATGCCTTAATAAGAAATGTAAGTTGCTGTAAGCTGATAAATTAATATATGATATAAATTCATATTTAAGATTCCTAATATTATGCAGTTATTCGTATTTCGACCAGTAATTATTTCTTTTATTACAGTGTGTTTTAAAGCAGATTTTACCTTGCTGTGTTATTTAAAATGTTTGATTTTACTGTTATTATTTAATAACATTCCATTCATAAATGCATTCGAAAAATCATTACGATTGTTATGGAAAGAACATCATTTATAAAGAATTTGCTCTTAGTCATTTTATAGATATAAGTAGTGCTTCAGTGTTATTGTACTAAACAAATGATTATAACTATCTAAAAGTTTGTTGAAAGTCATTTTTGTAGACGGCACCTCACTTGGCTGTTAGTGTTTGTTATTTGTAAACTAGACATCAGACTGTCCTTTTCATTCCTAATAGAGCATGATAAGGACAGACTGATATCAAGTTTACAAATAGCAAACACGAATAGCCAAAGGAAGTACCGGCATGAGGAATGTTATGCTTGGATTTGGGATGACATAGTCATTAGTTGGGCTTATAATATAGAACAACGCGACCAACGCGGCCAGCGGGCCAATCGCCTAACGGGATCGCTTTGGCTATGGCTTACGAATTTCATTTTGTTATTTCTTATAGCCGAAGATTTTCAAATGCCCCGCGCTCTTTATGTTTTTTTTTTTGTATTGGTAACAACAATATTAAAGAAAATGAGCGTTACATATTTGAAAACCTTCGGCGGTCAGAAATAACAAAATCAAAACATAAGCGATTGCGATAACCATAGCAATTCCAATAGGCGATTGACCCACAGGAAGGGAGTCGGCATTCACAGCGTTCCCCTCTGTCGAATTTCCCCCGCTGTTGGGCCAGTTCCAAAACAAAACTAAGTTGCGCTCGGAACTTCTCTAGACAGACTTGACTCAAGTCGCGCGAGTGTATGTTTGAGATCAAAAATGCCAAAATGTTATTTAATTTGCTGTAAAACTGGAATATTAAACTTACAAAAGGATGGTGTTAAATTTCACATATAAGTAGAATTATTATCATATTATTTCTGTTTAACCACTTTTAAACACAAAATTCATAAAATTTTGTTAAAATTCAATCGTCGGTCTTGTTTGACAAAACAATCGACTCTTTAGTGCAAATTTCAGATCCGTCAATGAAAATATTTAATTTGCATCTATGCCCTATTCAGCGCTGTCATTTTTTATGTGTGAGTAGGGTTACCATCCGTCCGGATTAGTCTGGTCATGTCCGGACTTTAAGACTATAGTCCGTACTTTGTCCAGATTTTTTAAATTACATTGAATATGAATAATAAAAGTACATATTGATTTAAATACCATACCATTGTAACTGAGTAATGGTACCATTTTGTGACTAAAACGTTCCAGACTTTTTTCGATATGTTTTCGAGGATTTTGTCAGGACTTTTGAAATTCCTAAATGGTTACCTTATGTGTAAGTGTCGTAATTACAATTTCGTTTTTGTGAATGTTGAAAGCATTTGTGTGTATATTCCTCCCCCCGCAAAAAACTGCAGAATGATTTCAGTAGTATTATGTCATTATGGCTTCTCCCCTCCTAGCCGCGTCGGCTGTGTTGCTCTATGGCTTACAAAGGTGATAAAATATTTACATTAAAATCAATTGACAACTATTACGATATCAGATCTACATAGTTCTGTAATTCAGTATCAATATACAATCTGCATTATATTTAAGTCATTTTACTATGGTACTAGATGTATTAATGCTGGTAATTCTAGTTTATACCATTTAAAATCGCTTGCCATGCACAGATGTAATAGTGTTCTGCCAAAGAAAAACATTCCATCAAGAAAATCGTGAATTATATTTATTGTTAAAACTTAGTAAAGAATGTCAATGATAATCTCGTCTGATGTCTATGTGATTTATGTGTGTCTAGACTTGAAAACTGTTGGAAAATAAACTGATTATTATACATAATATGTGGTGTTTTATTTTGTTATTCATGAAATCTATAGAATGAAAATATTATTATTTAATATAATATTTTCATTCTTATATTAAGTTGGCCGATCTTGAATACATTTCTTCATGTTCGTAAATTTGTTAAATGATTTGAGTGTCTCGTAATGAGACGATAACCAGAAGACCAAGTGCCGCGAGAGTCGTGGGACCTGGTCTTGTAGTTGGACTAATATGGTAAATTCATACTAGCACAGTCTAAGCGAATTTCCAAAACAGTAACATGGCAAATCTTACTATTATCTCTACATTGTTAAATTTCTGAAATTAGCTTAGACTTTGCGCTAATATAAATTCACCACTAGGCAATTAACAAAGGACCTTTTGGATTGGCTTGATGGATGGTGCGGGGTGGTATTATTGACCGCGAAGCAATAAAGACCGCCTTATTGTTAGAAATTAAGAATGTAGTAGAAAAAAGGAGTAAGAAGAATCATAAAATCAATCATTTAGTGCCACACCTTAACATTTATATAATAACCAGGTCTTTAAGGTAACTTTCTGTGAAATCAGAATGTGGAATGTGTAGGAAGTATTAAGTTCCCATTCCGATCTCTCCAGTAAAAGCTAGTTCGTCCTTTATATATATTGATGCTGCTTTTGATGCAGATTAAGTATTTCTCCATGCTTGTAATCTGCTAAGATAGTCAAGAGTTTTTTCACGGTGTCACCGGTGAGGTATCTGTAGCGGCATAGGTACGTAGATACTAGTGATCTTGTAAGAGTCGATGTCGTTTACCACTACCACGGAGGAGGGGTTTTCTTCTAGGCAGCTGATAGGGCTTCAAAAACATCCGTACGACCATACATACTGGCATGTGCAGTCTTTCGTTTTAAATGAATCTTCAAGTACGTAACCGAAAAAGACAAGTTAGCCTACGCAGCTACAACGCTGGCCACGTTGTCTTAAGACAAGGCTGTAGCTAGAGTCGAATTTGAGGCAGCATTTGTTACAGGTAGGGCTGAAGTAAAAAAAAAACATAATTGATCTGCCCTCGGAGCACCCAAAGTTGACTTTGTTCTTTTTTTTCAGAGGCCGGAAATACCATACCAGCTTTTCTCTCGTGACCCATTGATAGTCTTTGAGGCCTTTAATTGCAGTTTGAAAACGTATTGATAGAAATAGCAATTGTATTGATTTTTGAGTAAAACACTCTTTACCATACACTTCACTTTACCAAACTACAAACAATCATAGTCAATCTTTAGTTAATGTTTATTATGTACGGGATTATATGAAAACGAAACCCCCCCGTACGAGATTGCAATATAGCCCATATTGCCCCCCCCCCCCCCTGCCCTCCTAGCTACGGCCGTGTCTTAAGATGGTGGTTGACAGCATTAAGGTTGACTGGAGTACCTACCTATGCGTATGTGCAGCAGAAATTTACCTTTAACAGCGAGGCAGACGGGAGGAGAGGATGAGAATTACCTACTTTACATCATTTTTGTTCCTTTTTTTATGGGAGCAACACATACATAGAGAAAAGTAATATTACTAGAACACATAGTAGGCAAGTCCATTGAGCAAGCGTCGTTTTAGGTATGACTTGCCGCTTTACCAATTTTCAGTGTCATTTAAAAACTATGTACACACATCAAAAGTGTCTAGGGATCAACATATATTTTTGCAATAACTTTTCTCCTGATTGATATTAATTAAAATTTTCTTTAAGGATTCATCAAATAAAGTGTTTTCGTTTGTCACAGTAACGATAAACCAAGTCACCTTTGCATTAATAAAGAAATTTGCCATTTTCCTAATAAAGGGATTTTTGACATTTGAACCACTAACACAAAAGTTCGAAAAAAAGACTGAAATAACAGTTTTCTCTAAAATTTTATTGGGTAACTTAAACAATTAATAATCCGTATTTCTACCGCGAACACTAACAACACAGGAACATCGGTTTGGCATACTCAAAATGAGTTCATCCAAATCACGCTGTGGAATGGCCGCCCATGTTCGTTGCAACAACAAAAAAAGGTCTTCTTGCGACTGGATACCCTCCATATTCGGCAGAGCTCTTCTCTGTAGCATATCCCATGCATGCTCAATCGGGTTCAAGTCTGGCGACTGAGCAGGCCAGGGCAGGACATTGATGTTAGCTGCGGCGAGAGTCTGTCTTACAACTCATGCGGTGTGCGGTCGTGCATTATCATGCATTAACTGAAATAAGGGACCGATTTGCACTTGTAGAGGAACGATGACGTCTGATACAATCGTCTCAGCATAAATTTGAGCGTTGAGGTTGCCTCTGATCCAAATCAACTCAGTTCTTCCGCCGATCCAAATACCCGCCCATACCATGATGGTTCCACCACTATAAGGATGGACTTCCTGGCAGGATTTTAATCGCTGTTGGCGTCCAGGGGTTCTCCAGTGTCGTATACGTCTTGTATCCGGTCTCATACCAAAACGAGACTCATCAGAAAAGCACACGAAACGCCATTGTTCTTCTGCCCAATTTCTGTGTTCAAGAGCCCATTGATATCGAATCCTACGATTGTGCATTGCTATAGGTGGTACCCGTAGCGGTCTTCGGAATGAAGGTTCACTTCATGCAAGCGGTTTCTGACTGTTTGGTCGCTAATTAAGTTCCCTGAAGAGTGATGAAGCCTCACGGCTAACATCATGGCGGTTATTGTTGGAGCTCTTCGAGTTAAGATTTGAATGTATCGGTCTTGTCTCCGTGTGGTGCAGCGATACCGTCCTCCATGGCGCTCAGCCACGGTACCAGTGCTTCGGTATCGTGTCCAAAGTCGACTGATAACACTCTGACTTGTATTCAGAGCTAAAGCCACAGTACGTTGCCGGGAACCAGCTTCTATCATTCCCACGGCTCTGAGCATTTCTTCCCTGCTTAAATGACGTCGCCGCTCCATAATAACGTTGGTTTTAATCAGTAGTAGGGAAACAGTAGCACTAATAATGTCTCCAATGCGTTGTATGTTTTTATAGGGAAAATATTGACAGCTGATTTTCATCTTTTACTCGAATTTGATTCACAGTTCCTGATTCAAATTATGAAATGCACCAAAAAGGATCCATATAAATTTATAAAATCATAAATTTATTACAAAGCCACATCTCAATCTCAAGAAATCCGCATAAAAATGCTTGATCCCTAGACACTTTTGATGTGTGTATAATGAATTTTGATTAGCGTTTTTATTTACAGCATACCTACCTCATGTAAATAGATACAAAAAAGAAAGTTTTTTGCTTTGAACACAAATAATGTGGACGTAAACCCTTAATTTGTGTAATCTTATTTTGTATGCCATAATCCTGAATTTTCCAGACATTCTATTGTCTGGCTTTTATTAGCTTATCAAAATTAAAAGAACATAAGACACGTCAGATCCGTATTATTTTAAAAGTTCATTAGACTATTGCTTTTCTTAGGGTTATTTAAATTTCAAAATGTTAACCCTATTTAAGTCATACATGTTTGTGGAGCTGGCTAACAAAAGGGGATAATTACATTAAATTAAATTTTACAGGAGCTGTAAAAAACTGAATGACATCCTACCTACACTTAGCTTATGGAGTGGTTTTTATTTTTAAATTTAGTAGTCAACACTTTTAGCTGGTTTTGATTGAAAATGAGCTGAGACTAAAATTCAGCGAGGCCCAAAACATGCAGACTGTAATAAAAATGTTTAACCAGATGCGCAATTATCCCGCTTTGTTCACTAGCTCCTCATCTTAACCATGATTCTTTTAACATTTTTTTTAAACAAATATTATATTATAATATGTTTTCTACCAAGACCAGCCTATGAGACTATCAGGTTTTTATTTCGTTACTTACTAGTTAATAATAATTTCAGTAAAATTTGTTTTCTTATAAAAATACAGGAATCCATCACAAACCATGTTTGGGATTGAGAGAAAAAAAAAAATTTGCCATCCCAAACCGAATTCATGATCTGATGGGATAGTGTTAGCTTTTCAGTCAGTCCCAATAGCATGCACACCAAAATTTACATTATAACATGTTTTTTATTGCATCTAACAGTCAAACTCCATAGTAATTTGACAATTAAGTGATAAAAATGGATTACATATATCATATCGTTGTGCTCATGCTAGTGGGGCAGGAATCTTAAACATGATATGAATAGAATAGACATTTTCAGGATTCAGGATTACCAAGGTCATTGGCAAGATGAATTAAAATATTATTTACAAGGTTTGTATCACTGACTTGTTACACAGTGCAAAGAATATTTATTACATATAAGCGAAAACATTATGATATTTTGAAACTTATCAATAATTTTTAGCTAATTCAAATAATTAAAAGTTAATTAGCGCTTTCACAAGCATCAACCCAGTCATTATACACATCAATTGGTTCCGACAGGACATTTGTAGTAGTTTGAAAATCTTCTAAACATACTCGACATTGTATTCTAGCTGTATTTCTCGCTCGATCCCTAAAATACCAAAACAAAATATTATCACAACTTTCGTAAAAAAAATAAGATTATGTAGAACTGAATCACAAATAGGTACGAACATTTTGACTTCACACGACTTTTCATGATTACAAAAAGGGCAGTTGAATTGTTGATCTAATGGTTCTATTGCCTTTCGTTTTGCTGGAGGCTTTCTTTTTGATTTGCGGCGTCCCATCTTAGTCTACTATGAATGAGAAATTAAACAATTTATTATAATAATATCTTCCTATAATTTTCTGTATTTCAAAGAAGACGCCAATCTTAAATATTATAATGGCACTTTTAAACCTTTTACAGAAACAAATTATTAATTTACATTTTCTTTTATCAAAAATCCTGCCGCAGAAAACCGAAACCAAATTTGACAACTTGATTTGTCATTGTCAATATTTTTTTTTAGTTCTTATCTTCTCTATTGAGAAAGCCAAAGGCATAGCCATGCAGCCATCGTCTTATTTTTGTATTAATCTTCCTCTTTTTTACATTAGAATGTGGGTGTGACGCATTCTAATGCTTCTTGGAGTGTTTGGCACGAAATATACCGAGTTGACTTTTTCGATAAGCTTCTGTGAGGTAGTCAATACCACAATAAAATTCTCACGTCCAATTGACCGGAATAGCGTATATTTTTTTTAAAAGATTTCACTAATTCTTCAGTTGCGCAGACGGTTGTAACAAAAAATCACACCAATTTTATTTCACAATATCCACTATGAACAAATTTAAGAATAATTAAAATAAAACGCCAACCGCACTCGATGAAATCCCGCCAAAAACTCCTTGTCATTGTCAAATTGATATCTTCAATTTTCTATTTAAAATCTATGGGTACGGCCAGAGTGCACTCAGATTCAGACTCCGAAAACAAGCGCGAGAAATAAACAGTGTAGTCTAAGCAGGTTGCCTGATTTTTCTCGCGCTTCGTTTTCTGAGTCTGAATCTGAATCAGGAGTGCACTCTGGCCGTATCCTTCGTCTACACTGTTTATTCTCGCGCTTGTTTTCGGAATCTGAATCTGAATCTGAGTGCACTCTGGCCGCACCCTATGAAATTTTTTCTAACGGCCAATCTTTAGGTTAAGTTTATGATTACCAGATCACTTTTCTTGCGATAATCTTTTTCAAATATTAAACGTTCACGACCGCAGAACGAACGCGTTACACTTGCGCTTTTGTGGTACTTCGTAGGTAATGTATACGTATATCTTGTACTAATAAATTTAAGGTAAAATCTTTTTTAATATAAATAAAATCCACTTCATATAAAAAACAAGCTATAAAGGTAAGAAATCTATGTAAGTACTAATTCTTTAAGAAATACCTACAGTACCTACTTATATTTAAAGTAACTACCTACATACATCGACGTATAAAAAAAGGCGGACAGAGTTTCGGCTAAGACAATGCTGAGGCACCGTAATGGCGGCAGCTATTGATGAGTGAGTGAATTGTAGGGTTGCTAGGTTAGCCAATTTTTTACCAATAAAACACAGTAAATACATGAAAACTCGGTCAGGTTTTCTACCAATTTTGAATTAATTGCTTCATGTCAATAAGTTATTGTTTCTATACCGTTACATATTTTTTAACGTTTTTTTTCAGGAAAATCAGAGAGTCGGATAGTCAACGAAGGTTTTAAGAATGCTGGAAAGATTGAAACTCCTGGAAAAACAGGCAAGGCCGACCAAAGAAAGAAATGGTCACATAAAGAACCATGGCCAGATGCTTTTAGTGAAGATACCTATCACTAATTTTACTAACTGCGCATTTTTTTTAATTTTAATTTATTTTCCACAAAGAAAAACACTGAATATCTAAAATTCTGCCAAACTACAATGCACTTTGTCGGCAGTTATTTACAAATTGTTTCTCTAAATAATTTTTTTGTATACTATAAAATGATTTTTAGTATTATTTTCTTAACAAGTGTGTTAAAAAACGTCTTATGATGATACTTGTGTGTATTGATGATTACCTAACGGCTCTGGTCTCAATGGCACCTCAGCGGTAATCACCAACATTACACACTTTAACACTATAAAGTACTATTTTATCTATAATAATTTTATTCTGATTCGATTAAATATGCTTGGCTAAACTTTTTATAAGCATATGTACCTACTACATATAAAACAGAAACAAAATACGACTGTATAGTGTGTCTTATTAATTACCTATTTTACTTGAATTAACTGCTAGTATCAAAATCATTTTGGTCCGACTGTATAGGGTTGCTACATGTATACTAGTGGCGCCATCATTTAATGTCACGACTTTATAGACAAACTGTAGATTACTCGTTTGTCTCTTTTTTCATCCTAACCACTTATTTATATATTATTCTAGCTATTTTGCCCGATGGAAAAAACGAAATACCTAAATATTAGAAACAAATTAAGTACTAGTAGATAGGTATATAAAAAATATTCTATAAAGGTAAAACACCTTTCCAATATTTCAGGTAATTTAATAAATGATGTCTCTGGGTGTGTAATTATAGAGTTCAAGCAACCAAAAAGAGCAATTGTGCAGTTTTACGATATTGATCGTCGTTTGTTCTTTTCCATACTAAATTATGTAGGTATCTAGTTAATTAAATCAAATATTTACAATACAAAACGCACGTTTAAGTCGGCTAACTGCATAAAAAACAATTCAGACCGTTCGGTCGTCGTTGCGGCGCGGCGGCGCATTCGCGACTGGGTGCCCGCCGAGAGCAATCGAACTCGAGTGGCGTAGGTATGACTCGCTTTCCGACCGTTTGTATGAACATAGAATACTGTATGATATTATAACCGTAGCAAAGGATTTTAAAGGCCTCTTATTTAGTATTTTTTGGGCCATTTTATACTAAGTGAAGTTTCGGCATTACATTTGTATATTATTAGATTATGCCGGCACTTCATTTGGCTTTTTATAATTTGACATTAGTCTGTCCTTTTCATTCCTTAAAATGCATGATAAGGACAGACTATTATCAAGTTTACAAATAGCAAATAGTCAAGTCAAGTGCCGGCAAACAACTTCATTGGTTTGGCAGTCGGTCGGTATCGGCATGCGGCATAATGCATAATGCCGCCTGTGGGTGCGGCCAGAGTGCACTCAGATTCAGATTCTGAAATCAAGCGCGAGAAATAAACAGTGTAGTCTAAGCAGGTTGCCTGATTTTTCTCGCGCTTCGTTTTCTGAGTCTGAATCTGAATCAGGAGTGCACTCTGGCCGTAGGGTGCGGCCAGAGTGCACTCAGATTCAGATTCAGATTCAGATTCAGAAAGCAGGCTCGTGAGATGTCAGCTTGAGCAAAGCAGGTGATGGCCACAGTGGAGGCAGATTACAAGACGCGGACGCGAGCACTATTGCCAGGTTGGGGGGGAGTTACCCGAAATTTGGGGGGGTTTTAAAGCGAAATTTTGTTTTGGGCGAAACGGAATTTTTTTTTTATTACATTTTTATATAAAAATAAAACCACTTCATAAACTTTTAATCTGTACAAAGTCGCAATCGACAGTCATTCAACAGTCTCTCTTTCTCATTCGACGCGTACGGAGTCATAGAGTACATTGTTATATGTTCGTTGATCCAGAAACTTAAACATGGAATTTTCTAATGAAGATCTAGCGTGCTTGTTAATGGCTACTGATAGTTGTCATTATAAATTAAAACGGGAGAGAATCGGTGTTCACCAAATTAATAAATTAAGGAGTGAATATGGGGAATACCACCTTTTGTTTCCCCAATTCAAAGATGATAGGAAACGTTTCTTCCAATATTTTAGGATGGAAGTGGAAACGTTCTACTACATTTTAAAAAAATGTGAACCTCAAATGATGAAGAATTGGTGTAATTTGCACAAACACAAGATTCTTCCAGAAGAACGCCTTGTTATAACCATTAGGTAAGAATTTATTACAATCTCACTAATCTGGATATGATGGGAACAGACTGTCCGGATTAACCGGAAAGCTGGGTCTGGATTCGCGAGGGTAGTGTAATTTGAATAATTTGTATGGTTTATAGTATATGTAGGAACAATCATTAATAATACAAAAAAATGGTTGCCTGTAAAGTCGGTTTTACGGGCGAAGATTTTACGTGACAACGTCTTTTTCTCGGTAGAATATTTATTGATATGAATATAATTAAATTGCACAATAGGAACAAGGAATTGAATGAAAATAAGAATTGCACAAATTTTAACTATAGAAATATATTTTGTTTACTAAAACATTGTACATGTAAACTTAAACTTAACACGAGAGACTCATCGTAACGTTACCGAGCGTTACACTTTTTCATAAGTGACTCCCAGCCGCAACCTAATTTAAGACGTTGTCACGTCAAAAATGCTATGTTAATGAAATTATTTTTAATGACAAATAACATTTTTTTTATTATATAATGAGTTTTGCATATCTATGTTAAACTTTAAAATTTTAAAGTAAATATTATCATAAAAAAATTATAAACATAGATAATGACTAATAATATAGCAGTTTTGTTTAATATAAGACTTTATATATGTTTGCTCTTAAGAACTTAAAATTTCAATCACAGCTTTTAATTTACAATTTACTATACTATCACAAATATTTTATTTATATAATCCACTCAATTAGGGTACAAAATTATGGCGAACTATAAAAAGAAACAAAATTTTTTGGTTATTAAAAAACATTCATAACCTTGAAAATTGTATTTTTAAACTGTAATATTATTCAATGAGTACTTACATCGAATTGATCTTTGCAAAAAAAATGACTTTCAGTGGATAAAGTTACAGGATTTAGCAAGTTTTAAACATGTGTTCATGAAGTATGTTTTTTTCTCTTGGCAATTTAAACCACAACTTTTCTAGTCTTTTACCAAGTGTATCATGATAACTACTAAATTTTTCATGTGATCTATTAGAAATCATGGTTTTATAATATTAACTCGGAAAGTTTATTTCCTACGTGCTTGCGTGTGTTCGTTTACAAATGTTTTGACGTCATAGCATAGATAAGTCTATAGAATATACAGCGTTTTTGTATGTCTTGTAGGTAAAAAAATACATTTTTTTTCGGTCTGATAGAACAATCATTAACATTTCAAAACATAATTGCAAAAAGTGTCAACTAGCCTATTTAACAACAATGTATCCTTGTCATTCTCTATAAAGAATGAAAAGGAGAGACTGATGTTAAATTTAGTTTTAAATTTAGAGAATCATGCCAGAATCGACATCCACCAGTGTCTGTGTCTGATAGTAAATGTCTACCACAGCATGGTTTACCATGCTGTGGTATGGTATAGTTGAAAGCATTTATGCTTCCAATGCAGCGACTTCTCCAAGAACTCTTTGTTCTATCGCCCGTTTTTAAAGAAATTGTATAATAAA